GTCACCAAGCTCGTTGATCGTTGATGGTAGTGCCTTGATGAAGATATCGGCAATGTTGGCATCTAAGGCCACCTGTATTATAGGACATGGGACGACGGACATCTGGACGACGGACCCAGTGGGGAAGAACAGGGGACTGGGGACGAGGGGAAAAAAGAGACAAGACATGGGACGGAGGAGAGCGGAGGGGAAAACGAGTCGGAGAGGAGTCTGGGGGAGGGAACAGCAGATCGTAGACAGGGTCAGTCGGAAAGGGGGGTACAGTAGGAGAGACGAGCAGGCGGTCAGGGGAACCTGAGGAAAGGCCAAGGAGACAATGGGCAGACTGTGGTGGCTGCTGTGGCTGCTGTTGCTGCTGCTCCGTGTCTGTGCCAGGACCTCCAACTCCATCACGGCTACCACCAGCACTCTCCTAAACAACACCCCCGGATGCACCATGCACAGATTCAGAACCCCCAGGGTCAGCACCCCCAAAACCGACACTCCTAAAACCAACACCCCCAGAGCCCACTGCCCCCTGCTGCTGCTGCCGATGAGTCTGCTGCGGCGGCGGCGACTGCTGCTGAGGCGAGGTTGAAGGCTGCTGAGGTGCTTGGGGTACTTGAGCTGGGGGAGGCGCCACAGGGACAGCAGGCGCACCATCAGCAGCTGGGCCCCCAGAGTCAGCAGACTCCCCCAAGGGCCCAACCGAGGGGAACGGAGTGGCGTGAGAGGCACCAAACGGGGCCGGGCGGAGCGGGAGGGGTGCGGCAGGCGGGTTAGGGGCGAGGAAGAGAGGAGGAGGGATAGGAGAGCTACGGTGAGGGAAGCACCAGAGGTATGGTAGTGTCTTGTCGAAGATAACGTCACGAGAGGTAGAAGCGGTGGTGTACCGGGTGGTAAAACATCCTATCAGGCGTCAAGAGGAAACCCAGGGAAGACGTAGGGAAGAGTGGGGGATGAGAGCTTGTCCGCGCTAGTGGCGCGGATGTGAGCAAGGCTGCACTAGACGTAGAACGCAGAGGCATCACCTGGGGACCTGGTCCAGAGAAGGGTCGGCGAAACCTGTGGGCGCAGGGAGCACGGCCACAGGTTAAGTTGGTAAGTTGCATAGCGAACAGCGAATGGCAAAAGAAAATGGGGTGCCCCGGCTTGGACCAAGGAGGTGCGAGCTACCTCCATGACCAGGCCAATACGTTGCTCAGAGACCCCATTCTGCTGTGGGGAGTTCGACAGTGTGTACGTCTGGCGGATGCCCTCCGCACTATAGAAATGTCCTAGAAGGTTGGAGGTGAACTCGCCATCACGTTCAGATTGTAAACAAACCACGGTCAGGCGCCAGTGGGTGCGAGCGGCGAGCAGCCTCGAGATAAGAGCGTCAAGCACGTCGGCCTTACACTCCAGCAGGAACATCGTGCTGAATTGCGGGAAGTTGTCAACGACGACGATAAGGTAATGCTCCCGGCTAAGACCATGGATCGGGGCAGGGCCTCAGACGTTTATGTGTAGTGTCTGTAGAGACGCTGTGGTAGGAGGAAGCGAGGAGGAGTGAGGGGCAGCACGCTGCCGTCCCTCGACGGAGAAGGTGCACAGGAGCGCTACTGACGCAGGCAGGGCTGGGAGCGAGGACCAAAGACTAGACCGCGCTGGGACGCGGGTCTCTCAACACCGTTCATATGTGCCTGAGACGCGGGAGTTCAAGGTGACCTAAACGGTGGTGCCACAGAAGGGTCGAGTGGGAGAGTGGTAGTGTTGCGTGCGACTACTATGGCACGGGAGTTTGCTAGGGAGATCTGGACTGGTGCAGGGAGCGGGGTGAGAGCTCTATTGTCTCGAAAGAAGTAGTGAGACATGCTAGAGTCGAGCATAAAAGAGAGGGCTGCCGTAGGAGGGGCAGTGAAGGAGCCTTGGGGAGACGTAGTAGAGGCTCCTAAACTAGACACAGAAATGGGACCTAGAACCCCCAGTGTTCCAGAGAAACTACGCTGGCCCCAGGGCAGTGATCGCCTCGGGGCCTCACCTCTAGAGCCTCCACCGTGCCCAACACCCCCAAGACCCCACTGTGGCTACTGCTGCCGCGGCTGCGACTGCTGCCGCTGTTGCAGCTGCTGCTGCTGCGGCCGCTGCTGTTGCTGCGGCTGCTTCTGCTGCCGATGCAAGGGGTGAGCAACCCGGTAGCGTAACTCTAGCTCATTGAGCCAGAAGCCAAGGAGCAAAATGATGTGGTCCTTCACGAACGTGCAGTCTGCGTGCGCGCTCACCAGCTGAAGGTGGTGAGCGAGAAGCCTCAGAGCGAAGGGAAGTGTCAGGCGATCCTGCTGCCGGGACCGATCGCACCGAGGTTGCCATGCTAAGAGGAGCAGCATTGAGGAACTCTAGAAATGATGAGGAGGCTAGCAGGAGGTGCGAGGGGCTGCAGAAGCACTAACAGAGGTAGCCGCAGTGGCGGCAGTGGCCAGATTGGCGGTCTGGCAGCGGCGGCTAGCAACAGGTTGACGGCAGCAGTAACGAGACACAGTAAGGCGGCAGTGGCGTCTAGCTAGAGACGAGCTGATAGGAAGAGGCGGCAAGCTGGTGGCGAGCTGGCAAACTGGTAGTGAGTTGGCGAGCAGACGTACTGGTGAGCTCACAGCTACAGGCAGTGAGGTGGCATGCTGGCGGCGAGCTGGCGAGAGAGTGAGCGAGCGAAGTGGTTGGCGAGCTAATGAGTTGGCTAGCTGGCAACCTGGCAGGCGCTGCTGGCGATGGGCGGGCACGCTTTGCTGGCGACGAGCTCGTTGATGGTGTTGGCAGCTAGCCAACAGGCGCTGCTGGCGGCGAGTTGGCAGGCGCTGCAGGCGGCTAGCTGGCAAGCACTGCCGACAGCTAGCGGGCAAGCACTGCTGGCAGCTAGCTGGCGGCGGCTAGCTGACGGCAAGCAGGCAGTTAGAGGGCAGCGGCGGGCAGCAACAGCCGGTGGGCAGCGTCGTCTGGCAGAAGCGGCTGGCGGGCGCTGGCTATTGACGTTGGTGGCTGGAGGCGAGCGGTTGGCGCTGGCTGGCGCTTGTTGGCTGGCGCTGTCTGGCTTTCGCTGGCTGGATGGTGTTGGATAGCTAACGCTGGCTGGCTTGCACTGTCAGGCTTTGGCTGGCGCTGGCTGGCTGGCTCTGACGCTGGCAAGCTGGCTGGCGTTGGCTGGCACGAGCTAGCTGGCTAGTGCTGACGTGCTAGCGCTGGCGAGCTGGCTGGCGCCGGTTATGAGGTGAGCAAGGGGGGGGGGGGGGGGGGAACTAGCGACGAGGTCGCGGCTGGCCAGGGAGGGCGGCGACGAGTGCGGGTGGGTGGCTGCTGGCTGGCGGCTGCTGGCTGGTGACGGCGAGCTGCTGGCTGCTGGCTGGCGAGCGAGCGATGGGCAGCAGGTGAGGTGAGCGAGCAGCTAGGAGGAGGCGTCGAGCGGCGGGCAAGGGGCGGGCGGGAAAGCGCGGGCTGACGCGGTCTGGCGCTGGCTGCTGCGGGCTCATGCGGCGGGTTCGCGAGCTGGCGAGAGGCGCGCGAATGTGGCTAACGACGGGGGGGGATGTGGTTAGGGGGGACTAGGGGCGACTAGTGGTGCGAGCTAAGTAGCTAGGGGCGGAAGCGTGAGTAGGTGGGACCTAACCTAGCGCTGATAACATGTTGAGATAGCGAGAAAACTTGGACTATGAAGAGGGGAGGGAAGATGCAAGTACAATGAATTGTCCCCTCTAAGAGCTGACCCAGCTAGGTTATACAAACATAGCTAACCTAACCAGATATAGATATATGTTTGTTGACAAAGAGTGCGTACAGGGCAAAAGAGGGGCAGATGGGGACTTGGGCCCATCAGCAAGCGGTGCGCTTTTAGGGTGTACATGCGTAATCAGGCCTCACATGCTAGAGACTAGGTTTGCACAGCCTGCACAAGCAAAAAAGGGGAGACACGAGAAGGGGAAACAAGGGGAGTGGATGGGGAGAAAGTGCAGCTCTATGGCACATAGCACAGGGGAGCACAACACTCGTAGGCAAAAAGCTGCCAGAACTTAGTAGTTCGTATTCTTAGTAAATTCACTATATATGATTTGTGCCCTTATGGCATGGCTAGGTTCCTCATGTATTATTGATGTGTTATGTTACGCATATTGTGGATGCAGTATTAATCTCTAATTCACGTATGAATACCTATTCTTACCAACCATAAAATGTATTCACGCTTTCCGGAGCAACATTTGTTGTATCGGAATGGTGGTGATGTGAACCTATTTGTTATTATAATCTCTGGATAGGAGTCGAGTAACGCTATAGAGAGGTAGAGATTAAAAGTGTCAAGTAAAAATGAAGCACAGGGCTAAATACAAGCACAGTTAGCCTAGCAAGGGAGCCTCGAGAAGGGTCACGAAACACACGCGAGGTGGTTTGGGCGCCTCCGGGCTCGGAAGTGTCGGACGCGATGCCGCATGTAGGCTTGGAGGTCTCGAACGTAGTTCGAACTTGAAATGTCGGGCCGAGCCTGGGCTTCCAAAAGTCAGGGCTGTACTCGATGTTAGCAAAGCTCGATAAGGAAATGGGATTTTCCTTACACCTTCCCCCCTCCTATACGAGACTACCCACATATGGGGCAGCCCGATCGTGTAAATAGGCCTGCACCAGTGGGTGGTTGTCGAGGGTAGCGGTTGTGACCCACATGCCGTCGTTATGCGTACGGTCAACCCATCGAACCAGAAACTCCAAAACCCGTTGACCCTGGTCACGTCGTCGTGTCGGAGAGGATCTGTTGTGGCTCGGTAGTTGGCTCGGGGACAGGTCTGATCGAGGGATGCAGTCTCTGATGGTCTAGATTAGCCGTGTTCGCAACGAAATGTTGAAGGAGGCTGACGTGGAATGAATCATGGATACGCCAGTCGTCCGGTAACATTAGCTTCGCAGTGACATGTGTCACCATCTGAACAATTCGGATGGGCCCACAAAATCTCGGGCAGAGTTTATGTGGTAAACGCAACCCTAAACGCTCCACTTCGAGAGATAAGTGACCAAAGCTGTAGTAGGAGATACTAGGTTCCATGCTGTCAGCCAAATAATATTTGGCTCCCATCCGACCTGCCTTCTTTTACTAGCGGCAGCAGGACGAATACTCACTTTCGCGTAGCTCGCCAATGAAGTTTTACCACGAACCTGCAGAAAGAGCTCCTCCAAACCAACCGGTAGGCCCAAGAATGAAGCTTCAAGGTCAACATGAAGGTCAACTTGAGATTGATCAAGAAGCTGGTCAAGTGAGGAGCTTCGAGAAGCTCGTGAGGTGCCATAGAGAAGGCCCCAGGGGAGCTGTCATGCACCCGCCTCCCCCACCAATGCTGCGCCATAACCGCACGCTTCATCCATCCCGCTCGAGTGCCCCCTGTGCAAAGGGGGGCAGTGATTGTGCAAGTGCCCCATGCGCTAAGGGGGGATTTGATGGCGCAATTGCCCCATGCCCTAAGGGGGGATGTGATGGATCAAACGCCCCCTTAGTAGTCCCCGCTTTCGAAAGAGCAGTTATGGAGCTCTTAGAGCAGCAGCGGCAGCGGCGGCAGCAGCAGCAGCAGCAGCAGCAGCAGCAGCAGCAGCAGCTTCTGGGTACTCCAGGGGCGAAGTTCACCCAACCAGCCATGGTCGCAACACACGTTGGACCAGATGGGGCTGGGAAAATGAGCCACATGGATGCTAATGCTCATGCTCTCAGCCCTGACGCCATGGCTTTAAGCGACTCGGACCTGCTGTCCAGCCTCCAGTAGCAGCAGCAGCAGGAGGAGGCGCCTGGCGATTGGGCTGAGCTGCTGACTTGTGATGCCTTCTCCCCAGCAGCAGTGGTGCAGCAGCCGCAGCGGCAGCAGCAGCAGCACACGGCACAGCAGCATGGGGCAGTTTGAGCACAACCAGAGCACATAACATGATGGTGGAAGCAGGCGATGCTCTTACTATCGGCACGGATGCAGCAGCAGCAAGTGGCGGTGGAAAGCTGGGAGGCACAGGCTGAGCTGGCAGGGCTGACTCTGCCGCCCGACCTGATCCGAGAATCGGCACATGCCGCCCTCGTTGCGCAGATGCAGATTCAGGATCAGGCTTCTGTTTGGTCGGACATCTCCTGCTCCGCTTCATCTCAGATGGAGGGGGCAATGCCCAAGGCACTAGATGATGCGGCTAGTATGCACCTTACTACGCTACATGCCCTGCCAGGGCCCTACGCCTTGCCCGACCCCCATATTCTGCAGGAGACAGGGACGAGGCTCTGCTACAGTTCCCAAGGGAGCGCATCGCATTGAGCATTCTCTACAGCCCGGGCGGTTCCCTCCCCACCCAGTGCTTCCAATCGTGTGTCGCTCCTGGGGCTGACTTAACGCCTATGCCGCCTGGGGCTTGCTTCGCGCCAACCCCGAATGGGGCTGTCTTCACGTCTAACCTACCTGAGGATTGCTTCACACCTACCCCGCCTGAGGCTCGCTTCTCGCCTACCGCTCCTGGGGTTTGTGGAACAAGTGATGGCAGCAGTGGCTTGCCAATGCAAGAGCCTCCTGCCTCGTGTGCGCCCCCAGCTAAGCTGAGAAAAGTACCGCGGTGGGCAGAAGAGTGCGGAGTGGGGGAGGGTGAGAGGGGAGGAGTGAGGGAGGTGAAGAGGGAGGAGGAGTGTGAGGAGGACTGGAGGCCACGCATTTGAACGCGACTGGATGGGCTGTCGGTGGGGCGGGGATGCATACAAGCCAGGAGAGAAGACGGCGTGACAAGATCAGGTAAACTAACTTACTACATTCTTGCAAACCAGCTGGCTTGTATGCATCATCCCCGCCCCCTCTTTTGGTTTCTGGTTAACCACGTTCCTGCTCTCTGATATCCTGCCTGCTCCCCCCCCCCCTTTTAGGATCAATCGGACTTCTGCCATCTAACTCAAAACGGAAATGTGCTTCTGTTCAAACTGTTCTTCTAATGAATGTGGTTCTTCCAGGATGGGACTGCAGCAGCTGCATCGAGCCCTACCGTCGTCCCTCTTAATAGCAAACCTCGACACAGCGTCAATGGTGGAAGCTGCAGTTCGACACATAGAAGATCTGAAGGTACAACCTATATGTAACATGTGGCGTTTCCCCTTCCCCCCCCTCCCCCTCCCCCCTCCCTTCTTCGGATTTCTATTTCGTGATCAGATTTTATTACTGTGACTTGTTGCGCACCGGCTTCTCTGCTGCGTGTGCCATTCATGCTCTTGCTTCCACTTATGAGTCGACTCAAAAGCAGATTCATGCTCTTGCTTCCACTTTTGAGTCGACTCAAAAGCAGATTCATGCTCTTGCTTCCACTTTTGAGTCAACTCAAAAGCAGATTCATGCTCTTGCTTCCACTGTGTTTGTCGTGCACTCCCTCTCCTTTAAAGTTTCTGGATCTTGCTTTGCATCAGAAAGGATCTAATCAGACCAGTCATTTGTGCAGGCTCAACTTATCACACCCAAATGAACTGTCATCTGTGCAGGTACGGATCAAAGCTCTCGAGAAACCAAGAGCCGGTGGCACCTTGTAGTACAGCAAAAGAAGCCTCAAAAAGACCATCAAAAGGAGCATCAAAGGGCACAACCTTTCCATAGCTCCATAGCCTTGTACAGTGCACATCCAAGCTCTACCCTTCAAAAGTTTAGAGGGTAATGGCTGAAAAATAAACTAGAAATCAAGCTCTTCACCGAGTTCACCATTCCAAAATAGTATGCAGCATAGAGCTTTGATCTCTAATGCAGTTTCTGTGGTCTTTCTTTAATGATGCTCTCATGCAGTATTGGTTGGGCGGCACTTACTGTCGAGAGACCCGCTGGGGTTACCCTTGAGAAGATCCTCGGGGAAGGGCCACAGGTGCAGAGCCTGCGGGGCTATGGTGTTAAGACGCTAGGATAGGAGAGAAGCCATGGAAATGGCATGAGGGTTTAGGTGCTAGGAGAAAGTTACGAGTGGAAAGAGGGTGGACTAGAAGAGAGAGGGATACAAGAAGGGTGCTGTACCCTCTACAGTAAGATCCAGTAACACCTACCAAGCCTACAATTATATATATATATATATAATTATAATTTAATACACCCCCTAGGCTTGGTAGCCTAAGGCACACCACACACGCAGCATCCCCAAAACCCTTGCACCCCCATGCCCTGCAGCAGCGGTGGCTTCGTCAGCCCGGTCGACCTCACGACGTGCGATGCGCCGACGTCAGCGGTGGGGGCAGCGGCCGGCGGCGTCGACGACGGTACGATGACAGCGGCGGCTGCGACGGCGGTCGGCGGCGGAGCCAGCGGCACGTGCGGCGGCTTCGACGGCAGCGACGGAGACCGCGGCACCCGGCGACGTGGCCCGGCTCAGCAACGACGGGGCCACACGGGGCGAGACAGCCATCGGCTGTGGCGGGGAGAAAGGGAAATGCAGAGGAGGGGGGGTGAAGCTGTAGCGAGGCGCCATGACGGCGCGGCGCTGGCTGGCGTGCGGGCGAGCTGGCCGGCGCTAAAACATTGGGCAGCCCGCTGCCGCCCGTCGACGACGCCACGGCAGCTCGACAACGCCGCCACGGCGCGGCGTCGCAGCCGTGGCAGCACGTTGACGCTGCCACGGCAGCACGACGACGCCGCCACGGCATGGCGTCGACGCCACGGCAGCGCGTCGAGGCTGCCACGGCAGCACCACGAAGCCGCCATGGCTGCACGACATGGCTGCCACGGCGGCGCGGAAGTGAGGAGAGGACGCTGCGGAAGCGTGAGGAGAAGGCCCGAGCGGAATGCCCTGCTCTGATACCATGTTAAGAAGCTAGGATAGGAGAAAAGCCATGGAAATGACGAGGGTTCAGGTGCTAGGAGAAAGTTACGAGAGGAAAGAGGGTGGACTAGAAGAGAGGGATACAAGAAGGGTGTTGTACCTTCTACAGTAAGATCCAGTAACACCTACCAAGCCTACAATTATATATATAATATATATATATTTTAACATATGGGTGCACTAACCTGCTATTACCAAGCCCTTTTAACTCAGTGGTCAGTGGCTGAGTTTCTAACACACCCTCTGCTAAGAGCCACATTTGTTTGCAGCAGAAATTGATCACCCAACAGTGCAGTACCAGATTGTAAAGAATGAATCGAATAGATAGGCTGTGTGGCTCCAGGCATCGAGCCTGTTACAGATACATCCAATACCATTCCTAGCCGGGCATAGACGCACGGAAACCCTAACTTTACAACCCCAGGACCATTTGGGGAGAAGGAAACGAATGGAGAAAGAATCATCAAGATCGAGTAGGAAACCTTGAAATGAAACATGGAATTAATTGAACCAGAGATAGGGGATGGAGAGGGGATGGGGAGAGAAGGCAGTGGGGAGCGGATGGGGGGAGGATGGGGAGAGGATGGGGGAAAAGAGCATTAAGGAAAAACAAATCAACCAGAACACAGCGACACACCACTCCTCCTGCCCTTCCGAGGCGCCTCTCGCTGCTGCTTTCGTTGTTGCTGGTGGAGCGGTGAGCCTGTGCGCTATTAAGCGAGCAGGGATAATGGGTGCTGCAACAACACCAGCGGTCGATGTCAACCAAGACGTGCTATTGAGCCCACGTGCTGGGTGCAGGGTCCAGAAGACAGGTGGCCCGGATAATACCCGTGAAAACAACAGGTGATTCTGTAAATACCCAGGTGAGCAGCAGCAACGGAAGGGCTCTTATTCGGAGGAGAGGAGGATCAGCAACCGTGTTCGTGTGTCCGTCTCAAAGAGCTTCCCAGGTCAAATCACGAGCCGGCTGGGAAACAAGTGGCACAGCCATGTGTGCGAGCGAGGGAGGCAGGGGTGGGAAGAATTATGCATTGCTGTTGCTGCCAGTGCCAGGGAAACCAGCAGCAGCAGTGGCAGCGGCGGCAGCAGCAGCATCCGTAGCACCATCAGAAGCAAGAGCACCGGCAGCAGTAGCAGCAGCAAGGGCAGCAGCAGAGCTGGGAGCAGGAGAGAGGACAGAGCTCGTCCAGAAAGGGGGAGTCAAGGGCCTCTGAAACACCGTGCCCTTGCCTGCTGTCAAACCAGCAGTGCCACCAACAGCACCAGCCGTACCAGCAGCAGTGGCGGCGGCAGCTGCGGCAGCGGCAGCAGCAGCGGCAGCAGCAGTAGCAGCAGCGTTTGAACTAGACGATCCCATGGAGAGCGACGAGGGGAGAAACGGTGGAATGGGAACAGTGTGGCTGTCTGTAGACAACCGCCCAGGGCTAGGTGCCTCCCACTTACTGCTATTAGACCAGGTTAAAGCCCAGGACTGGTCAGAGTGGGAGCTAGGACTGCTTGCAGAAAAACCCTCATAGTCTGAGGAGGAGAGAGGGAAGGGCGAGGGGGCAGAGGTGGAGGCAGTAGGTGTGGCTGCTGCTGACATGCCGGGGAAGAGAGATCCCGCTGTGGCACCCCCCAGGGAACTCACAGACGATCCCATGCTCCCCCCTCTTCCCCTTCCTCCCCCCCCTCCTGCTCCTGCTCCTCCTTCTCCTTCTCCTACTCTTCTGTTTCCTCTGCTGCCGCCCTCCCCCGCACCACCATCATTCCCACCATCCCCCCCATCACCACCCTCACCCCCACCCCCACCGCCACTCCTCCTCCTCCCACCAGCACCAGCAGCAGCGGCAGCAGCAGCAGCGGTGCGGGCGAGAAAGGCCTGTTCTCTTAGCAGCTGGGCGTGGATTTCCCGGTCCTCCGACAGGCGCAGGAGAGCTTCCTCTGCCAGCAGGGTGGCGTGGCGGTTGCGATCGCCCAGCGCTGCCAGGGAGAGGAGGGACTGCAGACCGCCCATCGACATGACCTGGGGGGAGAGGGGATTTGGTCGGGGAGGGGGAGATTTGAGGCGCCTCAAAAGGACTGCAGACCGTCCATCGACATGACCTGGGGGGAGAGGGGATTTGGGTGGGGAGGGGGAGTTTTGAGGCGCCTCAAAAGGACTGCAGACCGCCCATCGACATGACCTGGCGAGGTAGGGGAGGATGGAAAGCGGAGGGAGGGGAAGGAGGGGCGAGGAGGGGGAGAGCGGGGATGAGGGAGGGTGAGGGGGTGAGGAAAGGAAAGCGGAAGCCCTGTTCCGTGGGCTGCTGGGCGCGAATTCCCCAGTCCTCTGACACGCGAAGGAGAGCCTCCTCTGCAAGTGAGGCGGCGTGGCGGGACAAGGGGCGGGAGGTGGAGTGGTGAAGGGCCTTGGGTGAGTGACTACTTGTTCAGATCAGAACTTAAAGCACAGGTTGTTGACGTGTCCCACACCCATTCACCTGTCTTTTACCCTCACCTGTCTTTTACTCTCACCTGTGCTTTGACTGCGCCATGTCGACTATAACTGAGTTTATAATCACACCCGTTTGAATCACGCTGTCACATTATCAAGCTCACCTGTCGCTTATTCTCGCAGTGAATCGCCAGGTACCAGAACGCCCTGGCTGCTAACAGCTGCACCTCGTGGTGCTGCGACTGCCTGCCTCTCCTACCCACCACACATATGGCCCTATCACCCACCCCTTCCACCCACCTGTCGCTTGTTCTCGCAGTGAATCGCCAGGTACCAGAACGCTCTAGCCGCCAGGCGCTGCACCTCGTGGTGCTGCGACTGCGCCATGGCGATGATGGACCACAGCCCCTCCTCCCTTATCACGCCGTTCAGAATGACTCCGTCTCCCAGCAGGCTTTGCAGCGCAGAAGATGCCACCTCCTGATGTGGGCATGGGAGAGGAAAGGCAGGGTAGGGGGCAAGAGAGAGGAAAAGATGGGCAAGAGAGGCCATCAGCAGCACGCCTCGTGGTGTTGCGACTGCGCATAAATCACCCCACAGCCTAGTAGGCTTTGTAGGGCAGCTGAAGCCGTCTCCTATGGGGATCTGTGCATGCCGTTTCCGGAGACCCAGCCCCGTCCCGCTCACCCACACCCATTCGGTCCCTCCTCCTGAATACCTCCGTCCCTTGCCTAGTACTCTCTGAAGCCACCTCCCATGGGGATCTCTGCCTGTGCCCGCGACTCCAAAGGCCCAACCCGACTCACCCACACCTATTCAGTCGCGCACCTGTATTTGAGACTGAGCGGCGCACGACGCATTGCACAAGAGACGGAGCCCGCCCTCCACTGCGATCTGCAATCTCAGCTCGGGGTTGCGGCAGAGGGCGGCGAGCGCAGAGATGGCAGCTTCCAGGATGTTTCCGGCCTCCATAGCACAGATCTCCAGCACCTCCTTCAGCCCTCCTCTCAGCAGCATCTGTTTGGCGGAGAGAGGAGAGGGGGGTGGGGGGGAAGGGAGAGGGGCGAGTTGGGAGGGGGAAGAAGGGGGAAGAGGGAGAGGTAGAGGAAGGAAAGGGGAGAGGAGTGAGGGCAGGGGAGGGGAGGAGGAGAGACGAGGCCAATGGGTAAAGGTGAGGGACCTTGTGCGAGGGACAGGGGGGTGTTGAGGGGGGAGGGAGAGACTGGGCTGATGGATAAAGGTGGTGGTGAGGGGCTCGGCAGTGGGCCAAGTGCTACGACGAGTGCTCCCTCCGACACCCTCACTCCCACACCCTCCTCTCTCATGCACTTCCCACACTCTCTCCCCCCTCCCCCCCCACCCCTCTCCCCTCCCCCCCCCCCAAGACCCACAGACACACTCGCACAAGGTCCCTCCCCCACTCTCACCCACTCCGCCCACTCCCCCCACTCCCCCCACTCCCCCCAACCCCCCCACTCCCCCCACTCACCCCCACCGTGAAGTGATCCCCCGCCCGCACCAGCGGCAGCAGCCCCACACACACACATACATGCACATACATGCACATACATGGACATACATGGACATACATGCACATACATGCACATACATGGACATACATGCACATACATGCACATACATGGACATACATGCACATACATGCACATACATGGACATACATGCACATACATATACATGCACATACATGGACATACATGGACATACATGGACATACATGAACATACATGGACATACATGGACATACATGGACATACATGGACATACATGGACATACATGCACATACATGGACATACATGCACATACATGCACATACATGCACATACATGGACATACATGGACATACATGGACATACATGAACATACATGGGCATACATGGACATACATGGACATACATGGACATACATGGACATACATGGACATACATGCACATACATGCACATACATGCACATACATGCACATACATGCACATACATGGACATACATGTGCACACATGCACATGCATAGAATCCCAGTGTCAGCAGCCCCTCCCACTGACCTCCTCCTGGCTGCTGGTCTCCACGCATACAGCAGCCAGCGCCCTGAGGGCCATCTCCCTTAGCTCCACCGTGAAGTGCTCCCCCGCGCGCACCAGAGGCAGCAGCCGCGCCACCACGTCCCGCGCCAAGGCAGGCAGGCGGTGCCGCCTCAGGGCGCACAGGCGCGAGAGCGCCTCACAGGCTAGAGCCTGTGTTTCTACAGCCTGCACAAGCAAGGGAGGGGCGCCCAAGCACAGGGAAATATGAGAGGGGCAACGCGAGAGGGGCAACACGAGAGGGGCAACGCGAGAGGGGCAGGAAGAAAGGGGCAGCAAGGGAGGGGCAGGAAGGGGAGTGGGGGATAGTGGCTGCGAGAACACGGAATCTAAAGCGGAAGCAAAGAGCAAAGCCGTATTCTAGAGGCAGGAACTTTGTTGTTTGAGGCGTCTCAAAAACACGTCAGAGGCAGGCAGGAACAGTGGCCTACCTGCAGCGAGGTGTCGCGCATGACGAGGAGGTCGACCAATGAGAGCACGCCAGCTGTGCTGAACTCCTCCACCACCTCCGCCAGCACTGAGAGCTTGGCCACCGCATCCACTGCCGCCTTGGTGCCCTGGGATGGTGAGAGGAGGAGAGGGGGGACAGGGGTGAGGGCGGTGGGGGGAGAGGGGAGGTGGGGAGGTAGACTTCAAGCTGCACTCCTCCACCCCCTCAGCCAGCACTGAGAGCTTCCCCACCGCATCCACCGCTGCCTTGGTGCCCTGGGATGGTGGAACAGAGGGGGGAGGGGAAACGGGGGAAAAGGGGGGGGCAGTGGGGGGGTTTGGGTGTTGTGACTTCATGCTGCACTCCTCCACCCCCTCCGCCAGCACTGACAGCTTCGCCACTGTGTCCACCGTCGCCTTGGTGCCCTGGTGGGGGGGGGGACAGTGGGGGATAGGAGGATAGGATGGGGGGGACACTGAGAGCCAGCACTGGACGCTTCGCCACCGCGTGCACTGCTGCCGTGATACCCAGGGGTGGGAGTGAGATAAGGGGGGGAATTGGGGTGTGCAGAAGACTGGGGGAATTGGGTTGTCTTTGAGGACTATCCAATCGTCACTTGCGCCAGCACTGAGAGGGTAGTAGCAGGGGGGAGGGGCAGCGAGGGGAGGATGTTGACTTTGAGGTGGGAGTGAGTGAGCTCATGCAGCAATCCTATCCCACCTCACAGTCCCACCTCACAATCCCACCTCGCAATCCCACCTCACCACATCTCACTCACCATCCCATCACAGTGTACCCTCCCACTCACCTTATCGTATCCCCCCACGATTACTCCCTCAATAGGCTCCAAGAACCCCCCAGAGCAGAATAGGCAAACGATCAATCAGCATCTGTCTTGCATCCATCCTGCCATGGCTCCAAACACATTCCTTCAACTCACTCACCCTGTCGTATCCTCCCACGATTGCTCCCTCGATAGGCTCCAAGAACCCCGCAGAATAGACAAACTGCCGGTTGGCGTCCGGCTTGCAGAGGGCGGCAACCGCCCGCATGGCGGCCGCCCGCTGGTCGGCGCGTTTGGAGAGAGCGAGAGGCACGAGGGGCAGCAGGTACTTGGCGCTCGAGATTTGAAGCATGTCTGATGGGGGAAAGGGGGGGGAGGGGGAGGGTGAGAGAAAGGGGGGTTTGGAGGAAAGGAAAGTTAGGAGGGAGATATCAGGACGAAGCAATGAGCGAGAGGCATGAGGGGGAGATGGTAGTTGGCGCTTCAGAATTGACGCATGCCCGAGAGTGTGCACAGAACGGGTGGCAGAGAAAGGTTGAGAGAGTATGGAGAGTGGGAAGTGACAGATGGGTTGGTTGGTGCAAGCAGAAGCAGGTCGCTGTGTGCCTTTTGGAATGGCTAAGCAGCAAGGGGATAAGAATCTTACCTGCTTCTCTGCACATGGCTGTGTTCTCACCTGCTTCTCTGCACATGGCTGTGTTCTCTCCTGCTTCTCTGCACATGGCTGTGTTCTCACCTGCATCTCTGCACATGGCTGTGTTCTCTCCTGCTTCTCTGCACATGGCTGTGTTCTCTCCTGCTTCTCTGCACATGGCTGTGTTCTCTCCTGCGTCTCTGCACATGGCTGTGTTCTCACCTGCTTCTCTGCACATGGCTGTGTTCTCACCTGCTTCTCTGCACACGGCTGTGTTCTCACCTGCTTCTCTGTACATGGCTGTGTTCTCACCTGCTTCTCTGTACATGGCTGTGTTCTCCAGCCACTCGAGCCCAAACTCCTGCCCCTCTCTGTCCTTCTCTCCCCCCGCCACCTGTGCGATGGCACGATACACCGACCGGTCGGGCAATGCCAGCTCCACCAGCGGGTTGAGCGCCCCCATCAGAATGGTCTTGTAGCTGGGGGGGAGGAGGAGGGGAGGGGGGGGGGGGGGGGGGGGGGGAGGAGAGGCGGGGGGGGCAGGGAGAGAGGAGCAGGGAGAGGGGAGGACAGTGTTAGAGGCCTCACAACACACCTGGCACCGCGCCCATCGGAATGGTCTTGTAGCTGCGGGGGGGGGGGGTTGGGGATTGGGGTGGAACAGGGGGGAGGGAAGAAAGGGTAGGGGGCGGGGTGTGGGGAGGAGGAGCAGGGAGAGGGAGGGATAGTGTGAGTGGCCTCACAGCACCCCGCCACGCGTGCTATGGCATGGTGCACAGAGCCGTCGGGCAGTGCGTGCCAGCTCAAGGCCTGTCCCCATGTGTGAGTCACCTGTGGCATGCTGCACAGTGGACCGACTGCCGCAAGAGAGGGGAGGAAAGGTGCACCCAGCCCAACTCACCCTCGGCACGACTTAAGCTTGGCGTCGAGGTGCGTGCGGAGCGCGGAGACGCGGTTGAACGTGGAGAGGGGGGAGCAGCTGGCCTTTGCTACGCCGTAAGGTGAGAGGAGGGGCGAGAAAAGTCGAACCCAACTCACCCTCGGCGAGACTTAAGCTTGGTGTCGAGGTGCGTGCGGTGCGCGGAGACGCGGTTGAGCGTGGAGAGCGACTGCATGACGATGTGCGAGTCGACGGTGGACTGGCGGAACAGGAAGGGCAGCTTCATGGCTCGAGATGCCGTGCGCACATATCTGGGGAGAGGGGGGAAGAGGGGGGGGGGGGGGGGGGGGGTTGTGGTAGGAGTGTAAGAGTGAGTAAGGAATAAGAAGGGGAGACGGCGATATGCAAGTCAGCGGTGGACTGGTGAAAGAGGAAGGGCAGCTTCATGGCACGCGATGCCGTGCGCACGTATCTGGATGGGAGGGGGAGGAAGGGGAGGGGACAAGGCGGGGGGCGAGCAGGGGGGGGGGGGGGAGGGGGGGGGGTGGGAGGGGGAGGGGAGAGGGGGGATGGGGGATGGGGGAGGGGGGAGGGGGGGATGCATGAATGGACTGGCGGAAGAGGAGGGACATCTGGGGAGTCGGGGAGGAAGGGGTTGGGGGGAGGGAAGGGTAAGAGGCAAGAACGGAAGAGAAAGGCAGGGGATGGGCAAGCGGGTACACCCCCCTTGCATACAAACCTAACCTGTGGATGACGCGCACTTCCTTGCGCAGCTGTCTGGGGTGCGGCGTGGTGAAGAGCTGCTTTGGAGTGCGCCCAAACTCTCTCATCTGCACCTTCAGCGCCTGCTGCACCGTGTCGTCTGATACTGAGGCGAGGACCTGGCGAGGGAGAAGGTGAAAGGGAGAGAGGAGAGAGGCGTAGGGATAGGGGCAGAGACAGGAGGCAAGGGGTCATGCCGTCTCCCAAACTCCCTCATCTGCACCTTCAGCGCCTGCTGCACCGTGTCGTCTGTTACTGAGGTCAGCAGGTGATTTTTGAGTCGACTCAAAAGCGCCTGCTGCACCGTGTCGTCTGATACTGAAGCCAGCAGCTGAGGCAAGAGAGAGAGGTGAGCGAAGAGAGAGGAAGGGGCAGAGAGAGGGGCCATGACAGGAGATGAGGCCCCATGTAACAACCAGACTCCCTCATCCGCAGCTTGAGCGCCTGCTGCACTGTGCCATCCGGTGCTGACGCCAGCACCTGAGCGAACAGAGGAGAGGGAATGCAAGCAACACGCAACGAGCCCATTCTCTCCTCCTCCTCCGCAACTGCCCATGCCCATGCATTCCATTCCACTCCACGCCACATCAACAGGGCTGGAACACATTGTCCGCCTCCACTGCTGCTGTGGAGTATACACCTCAGGACTTACAATAACGGTAAAGCCCCGCGCTTGTATCGAGTACGAACCTGTGCGCCGAGGTCATCATATGTGAGCGGGTGGAACACATTGTCCGCCTCCACTGCTGCCTCCCCCCGTTGCTTGCAGCCAAACACCAGGTTGATCCAATGGTGCAGCCGCTTCGACACGTAGCTGGACGGGCGAGTTGGGGAGAGGGACACAAGGACTGGTGTTTGCAGCTGGTCACCAGATTAATCATATGGAGCAGCCGCTGCTTTTGGGTCGAATCAAAAGCACCTGCTTGGACATGTAGCTGGTGAAGTGAAGTAAGGAGCATGGGAATGGAAAATGGGCGGGAGCGGAAAGGGGAAGGGTATTGGCTGTTTTATGCAGCTCAGCACCAGCGGATCCAACGGTGCAGGCAGGCACTTTGACCATTCAGAGGGAGGGAGCAGGGGACATGCGGGTAGGTAGGGATGGTGAAGCATTCCCACTTACGGGCATTCCAGCGCTTGCCGCATCTTGTGAGCAAAGTCCTGCGCATCTTCCGCCCAGGCGGGCAGTGCCACGTCGTTCACAGGCGAGCCGTCCTGCTTCACCCCCAGGTCCAGCCCCTCGGAGTTGACGAGGAACGAGGTGGAGAGCGAGTAGAACTCCTGTGGGTAGAGCGAGAGAGGGGGGTGGGGGAGGGGGGGGGAAGAGGGAGAGGAGAAGGTGGTTCAAGGCACCTGGACAGACGGTCGTGCTTCACCCACGAGGAACGAGGTGGAGAGCAAATAGAACTCCTGCGGATAGAGGGGAGCAGGAGGGAAGGGTGAAAGGGGGGGGGGGAGGAGGGGGAGCAGCAAGAAAAAATCGTATTGTGAAACTGAGCTATAGACAGAGCACAGTTGCATTTTGGGTCGACTAAAAAATCATCGCACCAGTGGCACAGTGGAAGCATTGAGAGTGACTCTAAAATTCAACTCAAGAAGCTCCTCCTGAACGAGGGGTCAGAGAGGGGTGAGTTCCTCATACTGGGGTGAGTTCCTCATACCGGGGTGAGTTCCTCATCTCATACCGGGGTGAGTTCCTCATACCGGGGTGAGTTCCTCATAACGGGGTGAGTTCCTCATCTCATACCGGAATGAGTTCCTTAAGGTCAGAGGGGTTGTTGTACGCTCCCTCCCACATCTGCCCACAGTTGCAATGAGCACACAGAGATACACACAGAGATACACACAGAGATGATGATGCAACACACAGCTTTCATAACTAACACACACATGCACACACAGTATCCAACAACCCCTCGTTGCAGGCACCTAGTGCGCACACACAGTATCCAGTTGCAGGCACCTAATGTGCAGGAGGTACAGGCGGAAATGCAGCAGAGCATTTAACCACATGATCACCCCCCCCCGCCCCCCCCCTTCCTTTGCCCACTTTCCCCACAAATCCCCCCACCACACCCCCACCTCCCCTCCCCCAACCCATGATCCCCAACCCCACTCCCCCCCTACCTCCTGAATGGACGTCAGCAGCCGGTCCGGCATGTCGAACCGCCCGTTCTGCAGCCTGAGCATGAGCTGCGGGTCGTCGCGCACTCGGAAGTAGACCACGTAGCCGGGCGTGGTGTAGTGACAACCGTCCAGGAACGCGGGAGACGAGGGGGGTTGCCTGGCCTATGTTTTGAGCCCTCACACGCACCCCTTCTTACCTCCTGAATGGACGTCAAGAGCCGATCGGGCATGTCGAACCGGCCGTTCTGCAGGCGGAGCATGAGCTGGGGATCATCGCGCACACGGAAGTACACCACGTAGCCGGGCGTGGAGTAGTGGCACCCATACAGGAACGCGGGGGACGGCGTGCCGGGCACGTGCGGTGGCACCTCGCCTTCTGGGAAGTTTCCCGCCCAGTCTTCGTAGAGCTCTGCCAGGTCCTCGTAGCGCTGGCGGAACTTGTCCAGGCGGTCGGGGTTCAGCGCCCCCACGGGCTGGATGCGGGGGACAGAGAGGGGTGGAGAGGGAGGGATGAAACGGAGGAACGAGACTTGTGTAATGAGTCGATTTTTGAGTCGACTCAAAAATCGACTCATTACACACGGATTTTGAGTCGACTCAAAAAATGGAGAGGGAGGGATGAAACGGAGGAACGAGACTTTGGCGCCTCACGGGCTCTGCCGTGCCAGGTCCTCGTAGCGCCGCCGGAGCTTGTCCAGGTCGTCGGGGTTGAGCGTGCTCACAGGCTGTGAGTGGGATAAAGAATGAGGTGTGAAGGGGTGAAAGGGGGTTTGTAGAGCACTGCCAGGTCCTCGTAGCGCTGGCGGAACTTGTCCAGGCGGTCGGGGTTGAGGGCTCCTACGGGCTGGAAGTGGGGAGGAGGGGTGTGAGAAAAAGGAGGGGCAAAGCGAGGAGCAAGAGGAGGAGAGGAGATTATCTCTGTAGGTCCTCCCACCGCTGCGGTGATTGAGGCGCCTCAAGAGCTCTCCAGCCAGGTCCTCATAGCGCTGTTGGAACTCGTCCAGGCGGACGGGGTTCAATTCAAAGCTCCCACAGGCTGTGAGTGCGAAAAAGAGAGAGGTGCGAAGGGGTGAAAGGGGGTTCGTAGAGCACTGCCAGGTCCTCAGAGCGCTGCCGGAACTCGTCCAGGCGGACGGGGTTCAACGCTCCCACAGGCTGGAAGAGGTGCAGAGGGGGATGAGTGAGAAAAGACAAGGCCGATGAACGAAGGGACGAGACGAGACGAGACGAGATGAGACGAGATGAGATGAGATGAGACGAGACGAGATGAGACGAGATGAGATGAGACGAGATGAGATGAGATGAGACGAGATGAGATGAGATGAGATGAGATGAGATGAGACAAGACGAGATGAGATGAGACGAGATGAGACGAGATGAGATGAGATGAGACGAGATGAGATGAGATGAGATGAGACGAGACGAGACGAGATGAGACGAGATGAGACGAGATGTGACGAGACGAGATGAGATGAGACGAGATGAGATGAGACCAGATGAGACGAGATGAGATGAGACGAGATGAGATGAGATGAGATGAGATGAGACGAGAGGAGATGAGACGAGACGAGACGAGACGAGATGAGATGAGATGAGATGAGATGAGACGAGAGGAGACGAGATGAGACGAGACGAGAGGAGATGAGATGAGATGAGATGAGACGAGACGAGACGAGACGAGACGAGAGGAGATGAGATGAGATGAGATGAGATGAGACGAGACGAGACGAGACGAGACGAGACGAGACGAGACGAGACGAGATGAGATGAGACGAGACGAGACGAGACGAGACGAGATGAGATGAGATGAGATGAGACGAGATGAGACGAGATGAGATGAGACGAGAGGAGATGAGATGAGATGAGATGAGACGAGATGAGATGAGACGAGATGAGATGAGACGAGACGAGATGAGATGAGACGAGATGAGATGAGATGAGATGAGATGAGACGAGAGGAGATGAGATGAGATGAGACGAGAGGAGATGAGACGAGATGAGATGAGATGAGATGAGATGAGATGAGATGTGATGAGATGAGATGAGATGAGACGAGATGAGATGAGATGAGATGAGATGAGATGAGACGAGATGAGATGAGACGAGATGAGATGAGACGAGATGAGATGAGACATCCCCGTAGGGCTTCGCGGCAGACACCTTGCCTACTAGCGCGACCATGTCCCCGGCATACCGATCATGTCCAGCCCTCACCATGCGCAGCCCTCGCCATGCGCTGCCCTCACCATGCGCTGCCCTCGCCATGCGCAGCCCTCGCCATGCGCAGCCCTCACCATGCGCTGCCCTCACCATGCGCTGCCCTCACCATGCGCTGCCCTCACCATGCGCTGCCCTCACCATGCGCAGCCCTCACCATGCGCAGCCCTCACCATGCGCTGCCCTCACCATGCGCAGCCCTCACCATGCGCTGCCCTCACCATGCGCTGCCCTCACCATGCGCTGCCCTCACCATGCGCAGCCCTCACCATGCGCAGCCCTCACCATGCGCTGCCCTCACCATGCGCAGCCCTCACCTTGCGCAAGTCTCTGAAGGTAGCTGGGGACGTTAGTTCCAGCTCCCTGGCACAGCAGCGAATGAGACACGGGGAGAGAGGGGGCGGTGAGGAGAAAACAAAGGTGGCAAGGAGGGGTTGGGGGGGGAGAGAGGGGGAGGGGAGGGTGGAGGAAAAGAGGGAGGGGACAAGTAGAGAACGAGGTGACTTTTGAGTCGACTCAAAAGAGGGAGGGGACAAGTAGAGAACGTTTTGAACGAGGTTGGGAAGGGAGGAAAACCGGAGAGGCAGTGGGAGACAGAAATCTGAAACCCAAAATTAGCAGATCAGAGCTACAGGTTAATGAGGGAGGATGGAGGGAGGGAGGGAGGGAGGGAGGGGAAGTGTGAGATGGAGGGATGCGTGAAAGGGCCGAGAAAAGAGGAGAAGTGGGCAAGAGAGGAGAACGGGGCGCAAGAGAGAAGGAAGAGGGCGCCACTTGCTTGCAGGAAGAAGGAGCGAGCCCATACTTGGAGGTGTAGTCCGCAATAACCCAGGGGAAGACGGGGTATTGCGAGAGGTCGTTAAAGGAGCGGTTGGCCTCGCGGTTGAGGTACATGAGGTAGTCGAAGTTGGAGATGCTGCCGCTCACCCAGTCCCGCACCCACTTGTCCCGGCTCCTCATGCTCTCGATCGACAGCCCGGGCTGGGGGGGGGAGGGGGAAGAGGGGAAGATGGACAGAGGGGAAGGAAGAGGGGGGCCCACCCGTAGCACAAGATGATTTCAGTGATGGGCACGTTCGAGTGTGAAAGCTGCCAGCAGGACTTAAAAGGAGACGGAAGAGCGAGGTCAGATAAGGCAGTTCAGTGAAGCTCAGTTAAGAGCGGTTGAAAGGCTACCTGTTGCAGCAGCAGCGAGTAGAATCTGGAGCAATCTTGGGTTGACTTGAAGGTGAAATAGATGCTGCGAGGGGAGGAGGGGGGAGGGGGGGAGGGGGAGGTTAGGGGGAATGGCTGGGTTGACTTGAAGGTGAAAGAGATGCTGCGAGGAGGAGGACTGGTGACACCGGGATCACGGTTCAGGGCAGACGAAGAAGGAAAGACGAGGCAGAACTGAGGAAGGCGTGGGATGGCACAGGTTCGGGGGAGGCAGGGTCGATTTGAACAGGAGGGGGGAAGGGGGTGGGGTGGTGGGGGGGAGGGGAGAAGCGCAGCAAGAAGATGCTATGCAGCAGCTAACAGAAGACTTCAGAGTCGACTCACAAGATGCTATGCGGCAGCTAACAGAGAGACGGATAAACAGGAAAGAAAAAAGAAAATAAAAGAACAGAAAAGAAAAGGAAGGAAGAAAAAAAAAAAAACAGGAGACGGGTGGGCAAAATGGCGACAAGAGGTGAAAGGAGGAGGTATTACCTCGACCACTGGGAGTAGAAGATCTCCACTCCGATCTGCATGGGGGAGGGGAGGGGAAAGACACGGGCAGCTTATGAAGCAATGTTCCGTCTTGGCATCAGCAGTCTGCTTTTGAGTCGACTCAAAAGAAGCAATGTTCCGTCTTGGTATCAGCAGAAGCTGGGGAAGGTGGACCAAGACGCTGTAGGGGGTGGGGGGATTTCGAGGATTCTGCTCAGCGCCTCAATCCTTCTAACAAGCTCACCTCTTGCACATGAGTCGACTGCCTCATGCACGGACGACACCACGTTGAAGGGCTGGAAGTAGACGCTGCAGGGGGTGAGGATGATGCGAGTGCATGCGCCGATCGTGAGCTGCTCTGCTCCTACCCAGCTCTCCAACACATCACCCCTTCAATCCACCCAGCTCACCTCCTGCAGGTGTGCTGACCGCATCATGACAGCTGTGACTGTTCCAGGGATGCCGCACCGCCCACGACCCGTGCAGACGCTCCCCACCACCCCCCCACCCCCCTCACCTCCTGCAGGTGTGCTGACCGCATCATGACAGCAGTGACTGTTCTCAGGGGATGCCGCACCACAGGCACGGACGAGACCACGCTGAATGGCAGGAAGTAGACGCTGCAGGGGATGAGGATGATGGGTCACCTTCACATCCCCCCCCACTACAATGCGTCATCTTCACTCACCCCTTCAACCAACCGAGCTCACCTCCTGCAGGTGCGTTGATCGTTTCATGACAGCAGGGACCGTTCATAACGGATGCCGCACCACAGGCACAGAGGAGACCACGTTGAAGGGCAGGAAGAAGACGCTGGAGGGGGTGAGGTGAGGACGATGCATCGCCTCACCTCCACATTCCCCGGCACAATGCATCTCTCAAGTCCCTCAGCTCAGCTCAGCTCTCACCTCCGGCAGGTGGGTGGACCGCCTCTTGACAGCAGTGACCGTTCTCAGGGTGTGCCGCACCACAGGCACAGAGGACACCCCGTTGAAGGGCAGGAAGTAGAGGCTGTAGGGGGTGAGGATGATCGGGGATCCTACTCGGCGCGTCAATGCTTCAAACAAGCTCACCTCTTGCAAATGAGTCGACCGCCTCATGACTGCAGTGACAGTGCGGAGCGGATGCCGCACGACAGGCACAGAGGACACCACGTTGAAGGGCTGGAAGTAGACGCTGTAGGGGGTGAGGATGATGCGGCCCGGCTGGAGCACCAGAGGCAGCATCTGCGAGCCCACCAGCTCGATGATCACCTTGTCGTCCCCCTCCTCCAGCCACCCGGGGTTGAACTTGACCTGACCACAAGGAGGGGTCAGCAAGGGAGAGGGAGATGGCAGCATGTGAAGGGCTGGAAGTAGACGCTGGGGGAGGGGATGAGGCGGCCGGGCTGCAAGTCTAGAGGCAGCATCTGCGAGCCCACCAGCCCGATGATGACCTTGTCGTCCCCCTCCTCCAACCACCGGGGATTGAACTTGACCTATTGAGGGAGGGAGGGAGGATGGTGGGGCGAGGAGAAGAGAGAAGGGGATGAAGGCATGCATGTCCAGTAGCTGCTATTACACGCTGTAGGGGGTGAGGTTTCAGCACACACACAGGCACGGCGGTGCACGCGCGCGCACACACACACACACACACACACATCCACCCACCCTCCCACCCACAAGCTCACACAGCCTCACCTCCTCCTCGTGCTCCTGCACAATCGCCCCCAGTTTCCCCGGCTGCTCCCACGAGGGCCCCTGGGCGATGTCCAGCAGAGCAGAGACCCGTGGCAGCACGGCCTCCAGCGACGTGTACAGCAGCGCAAAGGGGAAGGCGAACTCGCCCTTGTGCTGCGGTACGGCGCATGCCGGTTGCCCACCTTCACGTCCGTGCGCTCGCTGGCGCATATGATGAGGAACTCCTCCCCCTTCTCCCCCGCCATGTGCGATGCCCTGGGGGGGAAGAAGAAGGGGGGCGGGGGGGGAACGGGGGACATAGGGAGAGTGGTGGGGTGCGGTAGTTCACCCCAGCATGCTCGCCGGCACTGATAGGTGATGAGGAACTCTCCCCCCTTCTCCCCAACCATGTGGGATCCCCTAGGGAGGTGGAAGGGGTGTGGGGAGGAGAGAGAGAGAGGAGCGATAGGGGAGAGTGGTGGGATGCGGTAATTCAGCCCAACATGGCCTCTAGCGCAGGCGATGAGGTGTTTCCCCCCTTCTCCGCCACCATGTGGGCGGGATGCCCTGAAGGCCCGGGGAGACAGGGGGGTGAAGGAGGACGAGAGGAGAGGTCTTGGGAGAGGGAGGGGAGTGAGAAAAGGGAATAGGAGCAAGGGAACAGTACGCTGCACGCACCTGTCTATTTTTGAGGCGCCTCAAAAATAGACTCCTCACGCACGGTTTTAAGGCGCCTCAGAGAGGGAGGGAGTGGGAAAAGGGAACAGGAGCAAGCACCTGTCTATAGCCGACAAGCTGTACAAGGGAACAGTATGCTGCACGCACCTGTCTATAGCCGACACGTAGCAGAAGGACACTCGGAACACGGGCTCGAGGTTGCTCTTGGGCTCGAAGAATATCGACGCGCTGCACAGTTGCTTATAGCAGTGAGCCTGTTGACTGTCTATCAGGAAGACACACCACACACGCCCCCCCATACGCACCTGTCTATAGCCGACACGTAGCAGAAGGACACTCGAAACACGGGCTCCAGGTTGCTCTTGGGCACGAAGAATATCGACGCGCTGCACAGCTTTAAGTGCCCCGGTATCCGCTGCATGCCGCCGTTAGGGTAATAATTACACGCATAGTCCTTAAAATAGTACTCCCCTTCCTCCAGCAGCAGTAGATTAAACCTATCTGGCCCGTCTATGACTAACTTCTGGCAGAATTGATCCCCGCCTTTACCTCCCCCTACTCCTCCGCCTCCCTCCCCCCCACCTCCGCCCTTCCCCCCAAACAGCCCCCCTGCCCCCGCCCCATGCAGCATGCGCGACAGCATGCGCCCACTGCTTCCGCTCTTCCCCCCTCCCCCGCGCCTCCCCCGCCCCCAGCGCCTTCTTTCCGCCTGGGGCTCGGCATCCCCTTCACTGTGATCTTCCTGCGCCGGGGGGAAGCATATTTGGGCAAAGGGGGGGTCCCCACGGGTCTTTCCGCCCCCCCCGGTCCCCCAAGTCCCCCAACAAGGCCCCCCAGCCCCGAAACCCTCCCCCTCCCCCGCTGCGCGTGCTGCTGCTCCCCCCGTCGCTAGGCGTGGGGAGGGGAGCATCGTCCGCCCCCCCTCCCCCTTCAGCGGGGATCTCCACATACAGCTGCTCGGCGCGCATTCTCCCCTGCCTGCGCCTCTGCTGCTGCTGCTGCAGGTGATGCCGCCTGTGCCACCCCTCCCCTCCGCTCATCCATCCTCACTCCCCCCTATACCTTCCGACTCCTCCCCGTCAGTCCCCTCTGTACCCTCTGTTCCGGTCTCCCCCGTCTCCTCCCCCTCCTCCCCCTCCTCGCCCTCCTCCCTCTCATCCACGCTTGGCTCTGACTGCGAGTGGTACATCAACGGACTGGATTGCACCATCAGCGGGCTGCCATGGTGCCTCAACGGGCTGAATTGCTTCAGAGGACTGCCTGAGAACAGCCGTCCCCCTCTCTCTTGCTCCTTCTGCTTCTTCTGATGCCTCGGCAGCATCTGCCACTGCTGCTGCTGCTGCTGCTGCTGCTGCTGCTGCTCCTGCCCCTGCTGCTGCTGCTGCTCCTCCTCCTCCTCCTGCTGCTGCTGCTGCTGCTGGTGGTGCCGCCGCTGTTCCTTGGGAGCCTTCCGCTGCTTCATCATCTTGAAAAGAGACATTTTCCCTACCGCGTCCAGCCCAGACCGCGGCTTCCCCACCGGTTCGGACTCTGACCGCGGTATCTCCAAGGGATGATCAGCCCCCTCCCCCTCCGCGCCCCCCTCTACCTCTTCCCCCCCCTTCCCCTCCGCCCGCCCCCTCCCCTCCTCGCCCCGCCTCTCAACCATCTCGTCTGCAGCATCACCAGCATCACTACCGCCACCAGCGCTACTAGCAGGGCCACCACCAGCGCCACAAACACCGCCCTCAGACCCCACGCTCCCGCTGCTGTTCCGCCTTCCGCTTCTTCTCCGCCTGTGCTGCTTCGTCCCCTCGTTACTATCACCTCCTTCCTCCTGCTCTATCTGACTCAGCGCCTGCTGAACGTTCCACGCTGGCGCTGACGTGGTCCTACTCAGCCGCCTCAGCCCCCCCATCCCGATTCCCCCGCTTCTTTCCCCAAAACCTGCTCTCCCCCAGCCTCCGCCTCCGCCTCCGCCTCCGCCTGCGCCTGCGCCGAGCCCCACTCCCCCGCTCCCTATCAGCCCAAACAGCCGCCCGCCACTGCTGGCGACGTCCCCGCTGCCCCCCCACGACCCGATGCCGACACCCCTGCGCCCAGCGCACCCGGAGAAGGCGGGGGAGTTTCCCTCCCCTTCCCCTTCCCGCTCCCCTTCCCCTTCGCCTTCCGCGTCGGCGGAGGAAGCGGAAGCGGACATGTTTTCGTCCCCGCCCAGCGACCGGCGGAAGAAGAGGAAATTGGCGCTGGGAGTGCGCCGGTGGGGGTGGAAAGGGGAGGAGGAAGCGAAGGGGGAAGCGGACGCAAGGGGAGAAACGGCCCCTCCGCACCTGGTGCCGGAAATGCTGGCGGAAAGAGCGGAGTCGGTTACATGTCTGACGAGCCTTGCGGTAACTTTGGCTCCCACGCCATGTACGGCGGAAGCGGAAGCGGAGGCGGATGCGGAGGCGGCGGAAGCGGAAGCGGACTCTGGAAAATCTTCAAGCTCGTCCGGATGACCGGAGCTGGCGGAAGGGCAGGGGGAAGACGAAGCGGTTCCCCCTTGACTCCCCCCATGTCCCCCCCCAGCGGAACCTCCGCCGGTGTTCCCCCATTGACCTTGCGGGGGTAAGCGCGCGGAACGCATGCCCTTTTCCGACGACGATCGGGGGAAGAATGATCGGCGGATGGCCGACCGCCCTGCGGACTCCCCCACCGTCCGATGCGAGCCCGAACCCGCATCGAACGACGCTCCGTGACTCGCAGCCGCTGCTGCGGAATCGCCGGTAGGTCTAGGAGGCAAATCGAAAGACCTGGGCGCGGACCCTGCTAAGGCCGCGGGTCCAGATGGTGCCTCTAAGCAGCGAGCCGCCGCGGTGGTGGGTCGGGGGGGATTGGCGGAAGCAAACCCTAACCCTGTGGAAGCACCGGCACTGCTGCTGGCGGGGACGCGAGGGGAGGGAGCAGGTACCGCCGCTGTTGCCGCTGGGGTTGCTGTGGAGTCTGCTGGCCCTGCTTCTGCTGCCTCTGCTGCTGCTTGTGGCTCTCTCGTTTCCGCTTCTGACGCCGCCGAACCAGCTACCGAGGCTCGGCTCTGCCAGCTGTCGCTCGAGCCAGCCGCAGCGGAAGACGGAACGGTAGCCATGGATGATCTGGCTTTAAGTGGGGTACAACGTAGTATTGCGTTTGCGTCAAACCCTAGACGGCTTGACCTGGTAGTGCTAGTGTGCTACTGGTAGTTGTACTCGTCATTGTCGTCCTCGTCGCCTTCAGCGAAGCGCATGACTGGCGGCCGACCTCAGAACTCCTTACAAGTTGGCTAGACGTAAGGGAAGTAACGGCGGAGTAAAATCCTGATACCCTAGCAAGCAATGCTTAATGCACAGGCCTATAAGAGTGATAAACGGAAGCCGGAACCAATCTTCCAAGTCTACGACAACACCTATCTTTTCATGCAAGTCTCTCCAATGTCTTTCGTGTCGGTTCATCACGTGAAGGAGCCATCTCAGGTAGGAATGTAGCCGGCATGAAAGCGTCTACTTCTGCTGAAGTACGACCTGTGCAACAATGCTATTTCAGAGCTATGTCATTGCTTACAGAGCTATGTCATTGCTGTACCCCATGGCAGTGCTTACATTACAGCCGGTTCGTAGCTGAGCGACAAGGCTGAAGAGAGGTGGCATGAGGGGAGCATCGGGTCGGGTGGTGGCTGACCTTCGGGCCATGACTCTACGAAAAGCACGACAGGCAGAAGCCATTGCACAGTGAGCATGGAGCAAGCAGGGCGGGCATGGGAAGAGTCCAGCGCACTTGTTTGATTTCATCCCGTGCTGCCGAGCCGAGCCGAACCGAACCAGATGCGTGAGGGGGCCAAGGGCGAGAGAGAGCGGAACAGAGAGATCAACTGGTCAGGTGGGAGAACGAAACCAGGCAGACTTACCGAACCAAGCGGAACAGCCAATCAGTTTGACCAGTGGAACCCCAAACCAGTGTTCGCTTCACCAAACTCATGCCTTGGGAGTACACCTATTCCACGGAACACTTCATAGCGTTACACTCCAGATCACCCTTGCATTCCGTGCGAAATTCTGGCGACTACTTGGTCGAGGGGTTCGCGGTTTTCGTGACTCTCAGTAAGACACCCGAAACCTTACAGAACAAAATTCTGGCGGCCGAAAAATCACTCTGGAAATATCCGATATAATCCGTTTTGCCCGGGGTAACCAGAAAAACGAATATAATCCGTGCCGCGATCGTAAAAGCAGTGAAGTGTAGAGTAGAACAGGTGTATCCAGGCTCGCGCGAGCACCGTCATTCGGGCAGGGGGGAGGGCAGGGCATGTCTGCAAACCAGGGCCCTGGCAAACAGGGTAATTACTCTTAATGTCGCCAAATTAAGAGTTGTTTCCGACCTGATTTCGTTTTTTATAGTAAAATGTTTTGATTCCGTCTGCCTAACAGATTACTTTTCGTGTGATTCCTTGACATTACCGGCTACTTATCTTTGATTCCGTAGGACGTGCAATTCCAGTAGGAGATCTGTTCGTAGTGGTGTATCACCCCTTCCCACCCTCCTCTCTACCTTTCCCAACTTCCTCTGCTAAGCAAAGCGCGATGTTAGTTGCCGGGAGTTTTTATAATCTTCCAACTGCCTGAGGCGTAGTATGAGCGAGAAACAGTCCCTGGGGTTTCGATGGCATTTCCTTGGCCGTGTCCAAGGCCATTTGCCTTCAAGGGTGTCCGTATGCTAACGGGTAACATTTCTGCGATTCCGTCCGCTTACGGGTATTTTCTGGGCAGATTACGTGACCTAACGAAATACCCTAGGCTTAGCGAGAGCCCTGCTGCCAACCAACCTGCCGCCCATTCCACGCTCAAGTCAGCGACAAGGGGGCCTGAGGAGGAGAGAGAGAGACCTTGTCGCACAGCAATCGTGCGACATGCCTCCCCCAAAGAGAGCTAGATGGAGCTGTTCGGAAAGGTCTGCGAGGCGGCAGTGGGGGGTAACCAGCTCTCGTCAACGCTCGAATCTCAAGCTATTTGCGACGAATGCACCAGGTGGGTAAGCTTCGTCGTACTCAACAGACTGGCTTTATCCAGGCTGGCTATCCAGTTAGGTTTCGGCGGAAGTGACGTGAATTATTGTCTCGCTCGTGATTCGTTGTTGCGTTTTCTGGGGGCAGTGGAAGGTAAGGGGACAAATTATGTCGGGATGCCAGCCTGGAAGGAAGAGAACGACGAGAAGTGCTCTAAATTCCTCACACAAACAGCTTCGCTTAGTTTCTTATTCCGGTGCAAAAAGTGCTGATGTTCTGTATTACTAAAGCCATATCCGTCTCCAAAAACTCATATTTTCCATGTTCGGTGGTAGGCACTGCACAACACCTTTCACATGTCCCCACCCCCATGTTACCTGACAGATCCTTCCCCACGTTTTATGTCGGCAAGCGTTCCAAGACAGCACACCACATCAAATGTGTTGCACATGGGCAGAGCAAGGTGACAGCACTTTGGCACTCATGCCGGTGGTTGTCAACAAGCATATATTCTGTACACACATACGTTTGTTATAACCTAGCTAGGTCAGTTCTTCAAAGAACCAATTTTTGTACTTTTATCCCCCCTCAACGCTTCCTAGTCACATATTTCCCCGCTACACTAACAGTGGTGCGGTGATAGCAGCAAGGGCAGCAAGGGCAGGGGCGTGTTCAGCCAGAGAGAATTAGCCAGCCGACACCAATGCGAAGCACTCACAAATTGGTGCATTGCCATGCCACCACGGCTTGTTCAGAGATCCGGGTGTGCAAGGACGCTGGGCTATGCTTTGAGCAATGTGACTAATATTCGCAAACACCGATGGACAGTATCATGAATTGAAATAAATCAAAGATTCACATATTGTTCACAGAATGGCACAATATCCGGCGGGTCATTAACGAATCCGCCTCAAGATCTCTATAGTACACCAACAGCAGATCCATCCCAGCTAAGCAAAGGAAAGAACATCGTGTATCATTTAGTACGAGTCGAGGAACTTGCGGGGAGCAGCGGGGAGGCCACCGCCGACAGCGGAGCCCATCATGTTCATCGCGATCGACATCTCCTCGTCGACCGACTCGGCGCGCGTGAAGCGGCAGAGCTTGCAGTCGGCCTTGAGCAGATCGGTCACCTCGTAGTCATCCATGCCTCCGTCGATGAATCCCTCGGCGTTGTCGCCGGGAACGACCATCACCCCAAGGAGGTCGCTCCACTGCAGCTTCTGCTGGGCACTGAAAACGGAAAACAGGGGGGGAAACAATGTCAACACGCTGCTCCAGGACAAAACCGAGAGAAAGGTACTAAAAAATGGGTGAAATCAAGGAACTTACAGTCGGCCCTGGAAGTCGGGGCGGAAGGTCTGGCCCATAACACCGTGCACAGCCTTGGAGAAGGACGACGACAGCACATCCAGACCGAAGTGCACCGCTCCATCGGTGGCAGTGCGCAGGTTCTTGACCTCGGGCCTCAGCGTCAGGCGAAGCGTGGCAACGTTGCCGATCTTCACATCGTACACGTCAACCAGATCGGTACCGCTGAGCTGGCGAGCCGCCTCCCACCGGAGAGTGGCACCTTCCCAGAGCTCCACGGTAGTACCGGGGACGGTGATCTCGACGGGAACGCCGTCAACCACAACGCGGGCGAGGTAACCGTTCAGGTATTCGGACTCGGCGCCGCGACGCGCCTCGAGGACGAGGGTGTGGTGGCCGGCCATGATGCCGAGCGAGCGGATCCAGGTGAGAGCCTTCACGTCGCCGTTCCAGCGCGAGTAGCGGCCGCCGAAGAAGCCGTTGAGCTCGAAGTGGGGGTCGGAGATGAGCGCGTAGTTGCGGTTGGGCTTTCCGGAGAAGTCGAAGTGCGAGCCGTCGGCGCCGGTGAAGTGGGGGTCACCCTTGTCCTTGCCCTCGCAGAGCTCGCCGACGGTGAAGTTAGCGGGGACCTCGTAGTCCTCAGTCCCGACGCCGCGTGCCGGCTCCATCCACTTGGAGCTGTAGCTCTTGTCGTCCTTGCACTGGAGCTTGTTGTAGCACGTGCAGATACCGCCTGTAGCGTCCAGGCACGTCTCCTCGAACATCCAGTACTTGGCCTTGTTCGCCGAGTTATCGTTGCTAGGCAGCTGCATGTTGTAGTACTCGCAAACCTTGTAGCAATCGATCTGGGGAGTCGCGATCAGGTCATCGGTAATGTTGAACTTCTCATACTGGTACATCTGCCCCGGGGTGAAATACGCCTCATGGAGGGGGTCTGCGGGCTCCTTGTACGGGTCAGACGGGTCGGTGAACTTTCCGTAGAGGAAGTTCCCAAGGCCGCACACGAACTTCGGGCACACTTCGGCAGAGGCGACAGAGGCGAAGAGGGCAAGGCATACTAGGACTGACAACCGCGCCATTGCGAAAGCTTGCTCTGTGATGCTAAGTGGACTAGTTCAACTTTCCAACTGAAGGTTACAGAAACTCGAGCAAGCTGCTTCTCTAAAATGGATTGGAAGGAGGGCGAGCTATGAAGCTACAAAGGGCTAATCGCTGCTGGTTGACAGGGCAGAAAGCGCTGCAATGAAGGATAAAAGATGCTGTGACGGGTGAGGTGAACAGTGGCGCTGGCCCTGCTGCTGCTCCTGCTGTGCCTGCTGAGCCTGAGAGATGCGACGTTGGGTTGCGGGACGGAGCACGGTTGTGGGGGCGATGTGGGGGTTTGGGCCGTTCTTGCCTTGGTGAAACCACCTGAGCGAGCGAACGACATGCAACAGGGTGTGCAATTGTCAACCTGGGAGCAACGGTTTCGCGGGGCTCGCTCAAAAATGACGCGAAGAATGAGCTGACAGGTAAGTTTTCAGGTGATGTTTTGCCGACGTGGATTTACTGTACTGGTGTGGTGGAGCTCTGATCACCTGAAATGGGAACGTAGCTGACGGAAGCGACAAAAGAATGTCTGCCGAACTTCTATCTGAACTACAGGTTGTTGCGCGACCGTTTCGCATGTCCTTGTAAATATCAGAACTTCGGAAAGAATACACGGCTACACTCTAAAATTCTTACTACATAACAGACTTCAAGTGCTTTTGTTATTCTTACTGAAATCTAGTTGCGTGGATACTAACCTGTACCCAATAACAAACTACCATTAAAAAAAAAAAAAAAAAAAACTTGCTCTACAGATTTGGAGGATTTGGAATCACATTGTAAGTCTTCCAAAGATTAAACACTGGCCCCAAAATCCTCTAAACCTCACCAGCCTTTTCTAAGTTCCTGTACTTGTCCTTCAAATCAACCTGCCAAAAAGAAGCATATTGGTAGGTAGGGAGGTTACACTCCAAACGAATCATTTATCACCATCAAACCTAACCCAAACATTTTCTTCTATGCCTAAGTGTGCATGAGTGGGCAAACAAAAAGTTGAACTGAGAATGGTTGATCATGCATGGACACTTACCATCAGAGGAACCAACGGCAGAAAAAATGACATGCTCTGAGTGCACTGAAACCGATGGCCATGCTTGCAGAATTGGAAACCCACAGCAATCGCCGTTGATTCGAACGTGCACAATAGAAAGCAATACCAATATCACAGAGACACCGGCAAGCAAGCAGTCGCATGTCACTTGCCTGAGTGCGGCCCACAAAGACATCGGCATACTCCTGCATTATCTGACACCAGGACTTGCCAAACCTGCCATGCACACCACGGGCATGGAAGGGGGATGGCCACGAAAACGGCACGAGGGCGTTGGGAATGCAATTGAGTCGACTCTAAAGCATACATTTGTCATCAGGACTTGCCAAAACTGCCAATCACACCACAGAAATCGAAGGAGAATCGGTGCGAAATGAAAACGGCATTGGGGGGTGGGGGGATGTAAGGAGATGGAACTGGCAGCTCACGAAGAAAGCCCTGAAGGTGTGAGTGATGACCCGAGTTTACCATCTTTCAAGAACTGGTGAATATCCACCAGTCCTGTATTTTGCCCATCTCCCTGCCCCCTGCCACACTCTATCTCTCTCCCCAGCACAGCCAAGAGCACGTATGTTTGTCTTTCCTCCCTCCATTTTCACTTCACTCCCTTCCCATCACCTCACCTTCACCTTCCCATCACCTCACCACACCAAGCTCTGGGCTGTTCCCAACATCCTGCCGAAGTAATCTTGAAAGCCTGCAACTCCTGCAAATGACGTCAAGCTAAGCCCCCGCATCTGCAGCGCCTACAGGCTCACCTCATCACGCCAATCTTGAGTGTGTCGGTCTCCTCTGCGCTGAAAGGCCGCTTCGGCCTCCTGAACTTCCCAGTCGGGGTCACAGCTCGCTGCCTCCCACCCCTCCTTGCGCCCGCACCACCAGCACCACCAGCACCACCAGCACCACCAGCACCGGCAGCGGCACCAGCAGCAGCAGTGGAGGAGCGGAGGTTGAGAGGGGAGAGGCGGGGGGCTGAGGGCGTGCGGAGATGGACTGCGGTGGGAAGGTTGGCACGCCGATCCTTGGAGCCTTGAGGTTGACGAGCAGAGGGATCCCCAGCAGCAGAGGGACCACGCACAGAGGCTTTCCAATTGAAGGTTTTGGCGGCCTCCTGTGTCTCCTCTAACTCCTCGTCATCGTCCGACCACTGCTCGTGACGAGTGCACGTGATTGGCGCATGGGATGGGTGCAGGAGATTGGGGCATGGGATGGTTGCAGGAGATTGGGGCACGTGATGGGTGCAGGAGATATGGGAATGTGCCTCAAACGGGGGGCACTAGCAAAGGTAGGCATTGGGAAAAAAAATCAATCTGGAAAGAAATTTATAAGCACACTAACAGAAATATACAAAGCCAGCAAATTCAGGATTCAGTGAAATGCACAAAGGCAAATATCAACAGCAGGCAGCGTACCTCTAGAATCCGGGCAGTTGGCTGGGGATCCATCATCTTCCTCCTCCTTCCACCCTCCTGCCGTCCTTCCCCGCCCTGCCCTCTTCCCAGAACCTGCAACCCTGTCTCCCTTGCCACTCCCCTCCCCCTTTCCTCTACCTCGCCCTTCCCCTTCCTCCTGCTTTCCTCTACTCTCCTCCTCTTCTCCTCCCCATCCTCCTCCTCTTCCTCTTCCGTATCCTCATCCCTCTCCTCCTCCTCCCTCACATTCCTTTGCCCCATTCTCGCTCTACCAACCCCGACCTCCTCCCTCTCTCCTCGCAATCCACCATTCCGTGCCTGACCTCCAGCCTGACCCCGAGCCTGATCCCGAACCTGCGCTTTGGCAGCTTCGGCCAGTCGGATTGCGTCTGGCAGGGGGTCCTGCCCCACAGCCTTCAGTCTCGCACTGCTCTCTCTCAGCTCCCGAACCATCTGGTCAGCATCGGCAGCAGGAGCGGCAGCAAAAACACTGCTAGTGCCTGCTACCTTGCGCTTTTTGGAAGCAGAAGCGCCTCCGGGGCCTGCGTGCTCCTGAGTTTCAGGGAGATTATCGGTTTCTTCCATCCTATATTCTTCGGCATGTGGGGGTTCCTCATTCTGTGCTCTTCCAATTTGTTGCTGCCGCTGTTGCTGTTGCTTTTGCTGCTGTTGGCCCTGTTGCTGCTGCACCTGCTCCTGCTGTTTCCGAACCCCTGGAAAGAGAAAAAACGCCATAAAGTCGACCTTAGAACGGCTCAGAAAGTTACTCAGGACAGAGAGAGGAATAAGAGAAGCTAGGAAGGGTTGGCATGGGAAGAGAGAGGTGACCCGGGGCAAGGCGCGCTGAACATACCATCTGGTTGTCGGCCCGGGGTTTCAGGGAACCAGCTCCCGATAAGATCACGCGCAGATACAGTCACATATCCTTCTGGACATCCCGTTTCACTCTCACGTGCACCCCCACAAGCAACACCACCAATACCCCCGGCACCATCCCCTCTCTCTCGTTCATCTGGCGTTAGAGCATCCCTCTTCATAATCACATTCGCTTGACGCACTTTCTCTTCCACTAGATCCAGAACCGGCTGGCCGAACCAAGCCCACGAATCTGCCATGTAGCTCCGTACCATCTTAGCAGCCTCGGCTACGGGGTACTTCTTTACGAGCCTAGCCTGCAGGCTCGGGTCGTTCACCGCAGCGACTAGCTCCTTCCGCCGAGCCTCCAGCTGCCGCACGTGGTCCGTCTTCTTTTTGGCGTCCACGTCAGCATCGTCTAAATCGTCTCCTGACTCCGCCTCCGCCCATACTGTACTCAGAACTTCACGATAGTGGCACTGATTCCATGGCTTCCCGTCTAGAAACCGAACCGCAACTGCTGTCATAATTTCCAGCATCATTTCTGGCTCTGGCGGTGGCCCCAGCTTTTTTGGCGGGAAAGACTCGATGACACTCGTTAAATCGTCCTCGTTATCACGGGTCCCGTTATTCCTCCTAGGAACGCCAGACACGCGGTTCTTTCTACGGGGCTTTTGGCAGCTCTTAACAAACTCTTCGTTGCTAAGTTTATCGATAGACTGGAGAATCTCTATAACGGGTTCCGTCACACCGTATTTGTCTAAGTGATACTCAATAGTTCGCAGGTACATCATCTTCTTCAGCACGATACTGGAATTAGGAGGCGGGGCGAGCCGTCCGAATTCATTCAACGCGTTGTCCGAACAATGGCGAAACAAAAACTCCCAACACAACTCCAACACTCGCTCCCCTCCTTCCCCCCGCTCGTCGGCTAAGTCTGGATCTCCGGATGCTGCTGCCATTGTACTTGTCCGCGGTCCCACCAAAACGGTCAGAGCAAGCTAGCGGAAAAGAAGATCGGTCAAGGGAAATGGCTAGACTGGGAGTAGACAGGCCGACAGGACAAGGGACAGCAGCACCAACGAAAAGTCGTCCCACAATTGCCTGAACTGGGAGGTGAAGGTAACTGCGGGAAGACTTCTCGCTAGCTAGCGAGGGTTTGGAAATTGGAAGAACCGAGGTCACGGAAATTGACGAGCAATTTTGGCGGGAATACTAGGTGGTTGTGGTGGGCCTACAGAGAAAGAGTGAAAGTGACGCCAGAGGCCGAACGAATGCGCTATACGACTGTTCGCTTGAATGTGATGTGAACACGATCTGTATGCAACTAGGTCACATGTGAAAGGCACACTACAAACAGGCACAAGTCCTCTAAGCCAACTTCAAGCAAGGACAAAATTGAGGCAAAACGGGATTGTAGACAACCACTTGCAATGTGGACGCCTCGCAAAGAATGAAATGCAGACCTCAGCACATCAGGTCCACAATTTTGTTATTGCCACTGGAAAACTCGTGTGCCTCAGATTACCTGAAACAACAAAAAAAATCAAGAACATATTCATTAGAAGAAAAAACAAAATTAGTCTACAAGATGATGCAGCTTACACATCAATTGCAGCGACCTGCTTATAGCAAGGTTCCCAAAACATGCTTCGAGCAAGGGTAAGAAAAGCCACTTACCAAATTGCATAATGGCTTGGGTGAACAAACGAAACTAGAAGAACGACGAGAAGTTGGATGCATACGCCATGGGTCGAACATTAGGGTGGGGCTGCCACGGAGGAAGGGTTATGGTACAGAGGGAGGGAGAGAAGTAGTGATGAAAGGATGGAAGTGAGAGGGTATGAACAGTAGAAAGTATGCTACGTATGCATGCACACACTAGCACTGATGCAAGTGAAGGGCACAGCACAGCAAAGAACCTCATTCGATCATTATTGCATCACACCATACTCAACCCCAATAACACCACATTACATCACAAAACAGAAATGTCACATTCGATCAGAATTACACTGTGTCATGAACACAAGGACTGTCCTGTCCACAGCAGAGCACGCCACACACAGTGGTTTCGAGGCACTGTAATCGGACGCGAATACATGCAGTAGTCAAATTCCAGGCCATAATACCCCACCCTATTCCAGCTCGTTACATCACATCATCAAAAACAGAACTCACCAAAGCAGTGTAGATGGTGAAACTGCGCTTGAGATTGGGCGCTGGAATACGACTGAGTCTGGCAATCACACCACATCCCACCCCACCCCACCCCTCACCTCACATCACTATCACCAGAACTCACCACAGCAGCGAAGGTGGTGAGGCTGGGCTTGAGGTCCGGTGCTTGGAAGCGGATGAAGGCACCCTTGTTGCCCCTCAGGTCGCAGTAGTTGTCTTTGCGTGCGACATCCCAAACCACGACATTTATCCCAAGGACTCACCACAGCAGCGTAGGTGGTGAAGTTGGGCTTGAGGTCGGGCGCCTGGAAGCGGATGAAGGCGCCCTTGTTCCCATCTAATCGCAGTGGTAGTCTTTGGCGATGTCTCAAAACGCGTCGTTTATCCCAAGGACTCACCACAGCAGTGTAGGTGGTGAAGCTGGGCTTGAGGTCGGGAGCCTGGAAGCGGATGAAGGCGCCCTTGTTGCCCATCTGGTCGCAGTAGTTGGGCGCTGAGAACACCGTGATCAGCTGCCCCTCGTGCTCCTCCTCATACCCCTCCTCCTTCACCTCGTGCGACCGCACCACCAGGTCTGCGTGAGGGGTGAGAGTGATTGTGAGAGTGAAGACAGAGTGGGATAGATCAGTTGGACTGAACAACATGCAGGGAGCAATAAGAGCCCTGTGATAAGCCACCCTCATGCCCACACTGTCACACATTTTGCTCCCCTTGTAACCCTCCTCCTTCACCTCATGAGACCGCATGCTGAGGGCTGTTTACTATGAGGGCTCTTAACTCTCAGGGCTGAGGGATGCAGCGAACCACTTCATCATGTGAAACGCCCTCACCCTATTCAACTGAGGGTCGTCTGAATGCCCTTCAGATGGACGCCAGCCGAGTAGGGTCCCCCCCAAACCACATCAACAGCTTGCGCTCCCACCACCCAAAGAATCTCAACAACACTACTCACGCCAAGCGCACCCTGCCCCCACTCACCCAGTTTGTTGTCCTGCAGAAACCGCTTCGTGACATCTGAGCCAAACGCCACTCCCACGCCTCTCTTGCTGGGCATGCGTCCCTGGCCGGGGAAGGGGTCGCTCCACAGCACCTCACACATGAGCCCTGCACGAGAACACAATTCAAAGGAGCCCGTGTAAGGGGTGCTGAATGCGAGGCACATGAGCGCTCGGCATGCGGCATTGAGCTGCCCGGAAAAGGGGTCGCTGCACACAGCACCTCACACATGAGCCCTGCACCAGAACAATATGAAAACAACTCAGCGCAAGGGGTCCTCAATGCAAGGCGCATGAGCGCTCGCTCGGCATACAGTGGTAGAGCATGAGTGCCCCTGGCCAGGAAAGGGAAGGGGTCAGGGCAGGGCAGGAGTCGTTGAACAGCACGTCAGACCTCGGACCTGCACACCAGGGGGAGAAATGCCGCCACACAGGATAAGCCACTGCTGGGTGTCGCCGAACGGGTGTCACCCGATGGGTGAGGGTGCGCCGCGGCCTGCGCACGGCATAAGCCCTATTGCCGGAACGTCTAAGACGCCACCCCCCACCCCCACCCTGCGCTCACCTTCTCCGGCAGCACTTGGAATTGGTTGATCCCTCTGACAAAACCCCCTCTGAGCCTCTATCACCCTCTCCCTCAATAGACTCACCTGCATCTGGCAGCTTGCCCTCATCTGGCGGCTCGCCTTCATCTGGCGGCTCGCCCTCATCTGGCGGCTCTTGAAACCTATTGATGCCTCTGATATCGTCCAAGGTAACCCCATCCTTGCTGAAGAGCCCCCCGTGCACCACAAACACGCGGCTGCTGATGACGTGCGCCAGGGGCAGGCATCAGAAGAACCACTTTCTCTCCCCCACTCCCTTTCCCCCTCTCGCCATCATCTGGCAGCTCACCTGCATCTGGCAGCTCACCCTCATCTGGCAGCTCACCCTCATCTGGCAGCTCACCCTCATCTGGCAGCTCACCCTCATCTAGCAGCTCACCCTCATCTGGCAGCTCACCCTCATCTGGCAGCTCACCTGCATCTGGCAGCTCACCCTCATCTGGCAGCTCACCCTCATCTGGCGGCTCTTGGAACCTATTGATGCCCCGAATGTCCTCTAGAGTGACCCCATCCTTGCTGAAGAGCCCCCCGTGCACCACGAAGACACGGCTGCTGATGATATGCGCCAGGGGCAGGCAGCAGAAGACGTCTGCAAAGAGCTCCACCACCGGCTCGCCGAACTTGGCCTTGACCTCGCCGTCGAAGCCGTAGATGCGGTTCATGCTCCTCGACTCGTGGTTGCCCCTGGCTAGGAAGATGCCTGGATGGGGGGATGGGGGGAGGGAGGGAGGGCAGAGGGATGAGAAGGGAGGGTGAGAGGCAGAGTGGGTTGAGCGGGAAGCAGCAGAAGACGTCCGCAAAGAGCTCCACCACCGGCTCGCCGAACTTGGCCTTCACCTCGCTGTCGAACCCGTAGATGCGATTCATGCTGCGGGACTCATGGTTGCCCCTGGCTAGGAAGATTCCCGGATAGGGGGATGGGGAACAGGCAGGATGACACAGGGCGTGTTGGGAGTGGGATCAGGTCGAACTTGGCCTTGACCTCGCTGTCGAACCCGTAGATGCAGTTCATGCTGTGCTTGCGGTTGCCACGCGCCAGGTAGATGCCTGGGCGGTTGGAGAGGGGGGTTGTGTTGAGGGGGGGGGGGGGGGAAGAGGTGTTGGAGGAGAGGTGGGAGACGTAGGAAACATGGGGAGAGTGTTCCGAGTGTAATGAGTCAATTTTTTAGTCGACTCAAAAATCGAATCATTACACTACACAGAGGTGGGAAACGTAGGAAACATGGGGAGAGCGTTCGGAGTGGATTTGGACCGAACTTGGCCTTCACCTCGCCGTCGAACCCGCAGATGCGGTTCAGCTCCGTGACTCGTGGGGGTGTTTAGATGGGAGAGGGGGGGGGGGACGTGGGGGGAGGGGAGCGGAGGAACTGCAAAGAGCAAGAAGCTGCACTATGCAAGTGTTGCAGGCACACAGAAATCACTCACCATTCAGCCAGCACATACCGATAGGGTAGACATGGGCACAAGCCGAGCCACATCCGGCTCGGCTCGGCTCGCCAAAATGACGAGCCGAGCCTTTCTTTTCGGGATCTGGCTCGACTTGAGCCGAGCCGGCTCGACTCGGCTCGTACACAATGTCCTCGTCAAGCCGGGGTCGAGCCGGCTCGTCCCCGGCTCGATTTCGAGCCAGGTAGCTCGCCACTCGATTTCAAGGGTAAATTTCCCCCTCGACAAAACGTGTCTCCCGTTTCTCTCTCCCGCCAACAACTCCTAGTCTATGTTCCCGAAATTGCTCTGGCGGTGCAGCGTTTATCATTTAAACGCTGCGTTTAAAGGGTAAACGCTAAACGCTCGCCCAAAATGTTTGATGCGGAATTCTTTCCCGCGACATTGCGACCTCGCGAATTCAACCAGTCGCAACCCCAAAATTTGACAACCAAAAACACATCCAGCCCTTTTGCCCCGCTCAACCGCACTGCACACTACTGCATCTACAACTTCCAACCTAACCTCTTGCACCCTCCTTCCTCCTCACAATCCACTTCCCGTCAATTTTGTGAACCCTAGAATTCTGCGCGCCTAGGAGTGTCTCATTAGGTTAGTTTGCGCGAGAAATCTTAGGCAGCCCGCGCCACTCTTAACAACGCGCGCTTGCATAGGCTCCACCCACACTACTGTTGGCTTAAGCGCATGCTAGGCGAGTCGAGCCGAGCCGGCTCGCCGTCGAGCCAGCCCTGGCTCGCCCACAGAAATGCGAGCCGAGCCAGGCATGTTTGGTGCCCGGCTCGACTCGAGCCGAGCCAGGCTTGGCTCATGCCCATGTCTACGATAGGGTAGCGGCATTTGAAGGCAAAGAGCACTGAGAAGCTCCCGCAGTATGGAGTTCCGTGTTGAGCACTGACATCCCCGTTGAGGTGTCTGAGGGCAGCCCGTTGAGCTATGCGCGTGTTGCAGCGGTGGGGTGAGGCGAAGCTTCGCACGTACCGGTGGGGTGGAGGCACTTGAAGGCGAAGAGCGTGAAGTGAAGATGCACTCCACTGAGAAGCTCCCCCGGTCCACGAAGTCCCCGTTGAGCGATTTTTGAGTCGACTCAAAAATCACGTAGGGGTTGGTGTCTGAGGGGAGTTCACGTCACGCTAGAAAGTGCTGCAGCTATGGGCTAAGAAGGGGCACCCGGCGCTCACCGGTGGGGTAGAGGCACTTGAAGGCGAAGAGCGTGAAGATGCACTCCACTGAGAAGCTCCCCCGGTCCACAAAGTCCCCGTTGAACAGGTACGGGTTGGTGTCTGAAGGGAGGCCGTTGAGCTCAAAGATGTTGAGCAGGTCGTAGTACTGGCGGGGGGGGGAAGGATGGGGGAGTGGGGAAGGGGGTGGTTGGTGAAGTCGTCAGGGTTGGTGTGGGGAGCCGAGATTAACGGGCCCGTTGAGGTCAAGGTTGTTCTTAGGTCGTAGTAATGGCAAGGAGGAGGGGGAGTGGAGATGGAAGAGGAAACGTCAAGGGAAGGGGGGGTGCTGGAAGGAAGGTCAAGGAGAGGGTGGGTGGCTATATTGATCCGTCAAAATTTCACCTGCCCGTGAATGTCTCAGTTACCTGCCCATGAATGAATGACCTACCCCGTGAAGCCTCACCTGCCCGTGAATGTCTCCGCAGACTGTAATGTGTTGCCCGTCGGGCACTTGAACGTCCACAAGTGACGGCAGCGCCCGCAGCTGCTCCCGAATCTGAAAGAGGATCTGGTACGCGTATCTGGGGGGGGGAGGGGGGGAGAGGGTGATAGGGGGTTGGGAGAGAGAGGGTGACCGGAAGGTAAGTAAGGAAGGATGTCCACGAGTGAGGGCAGAGCCCGCAGCTGCTCCCGAATCTGAAAGAGAATCTGGTACGCGTATCTGGGGGGAGGGGAGAGTTGGGAGCGGAGAGACAGAGGCACATGAAGGCATAGCGTTGCAGCTGCTCCCGAATCTGAAAGAGAATCTGATACGCATATATGGGGGGGGGGGCGAAGAGGATAGGAAAGGACGAGAAGGGAGGGAGAGAGGGTGGTATGGGAGCCTCAAACACACCAGGTGGTGATAGCACTTGCAACTGCTCCCGAATCTGGAACAGAATCTGGTACTACGCGTATCTTGGAAGTGGGGAATCGGGTAACGGGGAGGAGAGGGGCGGGGGAGAGGTGATACGGGGCCAGCTTAGGGGGGCGGTATGGGGAACCTCAAACACTAAGTGATGGCAGCTCCCGCAGCTGCTCCCGTATCTGAAAGAGAACCTGGTAGGTACGCGATGACTTTTTAGTCGGCTCAAACGTCACCTCGTATCTGAGGGGGGGGGGGAGAGGTTGATAGTAAGGAAAGAAGGGTGGATTAGAAAACTGCATGTGGCTGCTGACTAGACATTCTGTAACGATCCTACTGACCTCTTGTGAAGGTGTTTGACACGTCTAGATCACACCACCTGTGCAGCTTCTTCTGGTTCTTGAATGCGCCCATCATCTTCTGCACAGACGTGAAGTGATCATCATCTTCTGGTTTGAAGTGTACCTTTCTTGCTTCCGTGATGTGAGATGCAGATGTGATGTGAGTGCACTCACAAGGCACCTCGCACGCATCGGCAACGCAACGCACCTTCTGGTTCTTGAAAGCGCCCATCAACTTGTGCACAAAGGGGAGCTATGAGGTGGCCTTTGAGTCGACCCAAAAGGCGCCAACTTTACTGGTTTCTGCGCACCTTCTGTGCAGCTTCTTCTGGTTCTTGAAAGCATCCATCATCTTTTGAACAAAGGGCAGCGTCACTTCCTCACCCTCCATGCGCGGACCGTCGTACGTCGCCTCCACGTCTGCAGGGTGGTTACATGCGTTACATGAGATGAGAATTCGTGAAAATGAGTGAGTGTGGGAGGTCACTATGGACGAGCGTCACCTCCTCGCCCCCCATGCACGGCCCATCATAGGTCGCCTGCACATCTGCAATTCATGTGAGGAGAAATTGCATGCATGCAAGTTGTCACGTGCAAGTCAACTCACCTGTGCTGCTGACCAAGTCAACGCAAGTCAAAGCAAGGCAGCTCACCTATACTCCTGACGTCGATACCGAAGTCCCGGAACCCCACGGGTCCACTGTCAGGAGTGACTACGGCATTCTGACTCAAGGGTCAACGCAAGTCAATGCAGATCAATGCAGGTCAAGCTCACCTATGCTGCTGACATCGACACCAAAGTCCCTGAACCCCACGGGCCCACTGTCCGGGCTGGCTATGGCATTCTGAAATGCCTCCTCCCTCACCGCCTTCTCACACTCCCTCAGCTTCTTGCGCGCGTCTGGGTCTCTTGGGGCGATCTTTGCTGCCTGCATGGGAGAGGGGAGCGGACGAGGGGAAGGGATGACCACAGGCAGAGCAGGGGGTAGACAGAGCGAGCAGAAAGAGCCTTCTGAAATGCCTCCTCCCTCGCCGCCTTCTCACACTCCCTCAGCTTCTTGCGCGCGTCTGGGTCTCTTGGGGCGATCTTTGCTGCCTGCATGGGAGAGGGAGGAACAGAAGCAGGGATATTCTAGCGCCGTCAGAAACGCCTCCTCCCTCACCGCCTTCTCACATTCTCTCAGCTTCTTGCACGCAAAAGTACGGATCCCTTGGGGCAATTCTTGCAGCCTGTATAGGAGAGGGACAGGAATCGGAGGAACAAAACCAGGGTTTTGGTTCCCTTGTAGCAGCATTTGCTGCCTGGAAAGGAAGCGTGAAGTGGGCGAAAGAGAGGGGCGGGAAGGAAAAGAACAGGCCTGGCTTGGCAAAAGAGGAAAATCTGGCTTAGCAACAAAAACAGGAAGAGTCGCTGGGAAAAATAGGCTGGATATAGATAATAGAGCGTTGTAAGGCCGGGGTGGGGAAGGGCAAGAGGTGACACATACCGGAGTGGCCGGGGTGTAACACATACCTGTTTGAAATCTTTAAGGGCGTCCTTAAACTTGCCCATTGCCAGGTGTGCTGTACCTCTCCGATAGTAACCCTGGAGGAATGAGGGAGGGAAGGCGAGAAAGGCGAAAAAAAAAAAAAAAAAAAAAAAAAAAACTCATTAGTTTGGGCTTTCAACATGGCCTGAACTTAGTGGCACCAACCTGACAGCACCGATCGTTCAAGGTTTCAACCCCAGATGTACCTTGACATAAGACGGGTTTAGCTCAATGGCCCTGGCCGCGAACTCCACCGCACTGCCATACTCCTCCACCCACCCTGACATGACATGTAAGGGGTTTCACCCCCAGATGCTAGCACAAATAGACATACCTTAACATACGACTGGTTGAGCTCAATGGCCTTGGCCGCATCCTCCACCGCACTGCCATACTCCTCTATCTTGGTGTGGGCGAACGCTGAGTACAGACCCGCCTTTATCACAAGGTTTCTACCCCCAGATGTACCTTGGCATACGACAAATAATGTTACCTTGACATACGACGGGTTGAGCTCGATGGCCTTAGCTGCGTCCTCCACGGCGCTGCCATACTCCTCGATCTTGGTGTGGGCGAACGCACGGTTGGCCCAGAGGATGGCGTTGGACTCATTGAGCTGGATGGCGTCCGTGTAGAGGTCCACGGCGTGCAGGAACTTGTGCTCTGAATGGCGGGGGACAGGAGGGATATGGGGGGGGAAGAGAAAGAACGGAGTGCGGTTGGCCCAGAGGATGGCGTTCGACTCATGCAGCTGGATGGCGTCCGTGTAGAGGTCCACTGCGTGCAGGAACTTGTGCTCTGAGTGACGGGGGAAGGGGAGGGGAAAGGGGGGAAGGGGGGGGGGGGGGGGGGGGTTGGTGGGGGGGGAGGTTGAGGGTTGAGAGAAAAATAGTGAGCGGTTGGCTCAGAGAATGGCGTTGGACTCATTGAGCTGGATGGCATCGGTTTAGAGGTCAACCGCATGCAGGAACTTGTGCTCTGAAGGGGAATATGCAACAAGGGTGGAGAGAAGGGGGGGTGGTGTGGGGGGGGGGAGGGGAAGAGGGGGGGGGGTGAGTGGCGGAGGCATCACTGCTTCACTGAAGGGCATAATGCTTAACTGGACGACGTCATGCTTCGTTGAATGACGTCCTTTCATAAACTGACATCCAGCAAGCCACAAGACGGAGTCTCGAGACTGATGTCCAGCTAGTTACATTTGAGTCGACTCCAAAATAGACTCATAACACACAGAGTCTCGAGACTGATGTCCAGCTAGTTACATTTGAGTCGACTCCAAATTAGACTCATAACACACGGAGTCTCGACACTGATGTCCAGCTAGTTACATTTGCCAGAGAGAGGGAGAGAATGGGTTGACAGGGGACAGGGGATTGGACACCAAAATGCACGAGACAATCAGGCAAGCAGAGACGGAAACGGTGAGAGAAAAGGGATCAAATGTATGATCAGCACAGATCAACGGATCGGGTTGCATCGGAGCACTGGGAAAGACCATCCTGACCGTTCGTTACGCACGGCACACATCGTTCAAACTGAACAATCGCCTGATCCGAGGACAAGCCGCAGAGACGACCAAGGCAGCACGCGGAGCCTAACAACCAGACAACCTAAGAATACCACTCCTGTCATTAACACGCCATTGTCAGTGACCTCTGACAGGTCCTTATACTCTACTAACAGATGAACCTTCACAAGTCACCCCCTCAAGGCCTTATCGAACTACTCAAATCCGTCAAGGGACAGCGATGTGCTGACAGAGGGCGATCGCGCGGCATGGTTTATCGAGCTACTCCAATCCGCGCGTCCGACGAGGCGTGAGGCAGAGGCAATCCCAGCCTGGGATGGACATGACTCATCCCCTGACCTGTCGTTCGTATAAGGGTGCCATAATGAGGCGCTGCGGACAAGCTCATACCTTGAAACGCACGATTAGCTGCCTCCTTAATCTCTTCTGAACGTTTCACGTCTAAGGACGAGTCGACAGGCGCCATTGTCGCCAAAAGTAACCTTGTCATGAGAATGGAGAAGGTCGTCTCTTTATAAAACAATAGCTAAAATTAATTACTTTCACCTCCGAAACGTGGGTGTTTGGTCTAGTGGCATGATTCTCGCTTAGGGTGCGAGAGGTCCCGAGTTCAGTTCTCGGAACACCCCACCAGCCGGTTTTTGTTGCTTTTACTATAAATTTTTTAGTTCTCAATTTGCAACCGCCCCACCCCTGATTACCCATTTACATATTCAATCTCGCGTGTCCAAGCATATTATGAAGCTACTATCATGCGTGCTCTCATAGGTTTGCTGTTGCTAGTGGTATGCGTATTTAGCTTAACATGTGACTTACAGATTTGGGTGTACAAGACGTAGCCGTTCGGGCTGACGCTGGGCCCGACCAGTCAAACTGCTTGTCAGTAGGGGCTGAGGCTCGGCAGCCGCTTGTATCGGGCAAGGGGGACGAGTCATGGACAAATTGTTGTCCCTCACCCTGCTTCTTGGCGCACAACCTAGTACCCTACCAGCGTGGCAGGCTCGTTCCGAACAGAGGGCCAGCAGGCAAGGAAGCCTGTAAGCAGGTGCAGTTGGACAGTCTTGGAGGCCTTGGTCGGTCCTTCCACCAATCGGATTCTTCCATCCAGGCTGCGTTGAGGTCAGTAGTCGCGAGGCTGAGCTGGCGTGGGTCTGGTTCCGCCATTTTACTTGCCATCTCCTCCATAGATCTATGAAAGACCCTCGGAGTTTGCCCCTGAGCAGAGCTCAAGGAAGTTCCGAACCTCTGTCCCGCCATCAAGGCAGGCGAGCAGGCCTAGGGAGTTCAGATAAATTTCCCGCCAAACCAGCCTGGCCAAGAGAACTCACACCTCGCAGTTCCCAAGAGAACCCATCTTCTTGCACACGGCAATATCACGCGGAGAGGCTTCTGCTTCGCTGGTTCTTTCAAAGAGCAGAGATACCCAACGCTGGCACTAATGCCCGTCATTTCTGAATCCTCGTGATAGGTAGGAGCAGAGTCTTTCAAGAAACGGGGGAACCAGGCAGGAGCCGTCCGGGGCTGGTGCGCACTGTAGTAGATAGACATCTTGACTGACCAACCTAGTTTCGCAGCCCGCCTGCGAGGTGATTCGTCTCACCACCACCAACCGTTCCCCTCTTTTATCTTATCTAGACACAGGGGGCAGGGAGTAGAGCGGAGAGGACACGGCGGACCGTCTCAACAGTGTCTCGCTGTTTTGACCATCCGGTTTCATTTCAGAAACGTTTCTAACCGCAAGCTACAAAGTAGCCGTCGAGGAGCTGCCATCTGGCCGCTGCTGCTAGGTTTAGAAGGGGAAACTGAAGACCTTCGTCTCTCATATACAGCATATACTTTGGTAGTTTGGACAGCCTCACATCTTCGTCAGAGATCCGTCAGAGACGATCTCGTCGAAGTAAGCAAGCAGCAACATTTCCCTCAGTCCCAAAGTTTCCGTTCCAGAGTTTTCTTCTTGAGCCATAATGTGCGGAATCTTCGCCTACTTGAATTATGAGGTCCCAAAGCAGCGGTCCGAAATCCTTGAAATACTATTTAACGGTCTTAGGAGGCTCGAGTACCGAGGCTACGACTCCGCTGGCATCAGCGTTGACGCCGATGATGACTCAGAGGTGGTCATCGCCACGTCAGCAGCGATCGGCGAAATGAACGGCCTCACGAAATCTCTCACGGACATCACGAATGCTACCCCATCAGAGCGCAAGGGTGCAGAACCTCTGCTGTTTCGACAGAAGGGGAAGATTGCTAACCTCGTGAAGAAAGTTCGCCAAGGTAAGATCCGTAACGCACAAAGGCAACTAACTCACTTGGTTGTATCCTTCATTGCCGTTTTACACACAGGAAATAGACGATTTAATGCAAGAGCTTCCTTCCCCTTCCCTCCTTGTATCCCGCTTTCTCCATCCCCGCTCCCCCCCTCCTTTCTCCCCTCCCTTCTTTCTAACTTTACCTCGAGCAGATGTTGCGGAATCCGAGATAGATATGAGCCGCGCGTTCCCGCGCCACGTGGGCATTGCGCACACGCGGTGGGCCACTCACGGCGCTCCCTCCCCGCGCAACTCGCACCCGCAGTCGTCAGGTCCGAAGCACGAGTTTCTGGTGGTGCACAACGGCATCATCACCAACTACAAGGTAACACGACTAGGTGTTTCCTCGTGAAACTGTCAAAACACCCCCCCCCCCCCACCCCCCCAACCCCCCAACCCCCCGCCACTCGCAATCCCAGTCATCCGGTGCCCGAAGCACGACTTCCTGGTGGTGCACAACGGCATCATCGCCAACTACGAGGTAGGAAACCGGGTGTCTTCCTGGTTCAGACGCTGCTCTTTTTCCTTCCCTCTGCCTCCCTGACTCTGCAACGAGCCCTGAACCCTGCATTTCGTGCCTTCCTGGCACTCTTTAGAGGCGGGGTTTTACATTCGAGTCAGAGATGGACGCAGAGTCGTAGATAGATGACAGGTGGGCTGCGGAGGCCTTATTTCCATCAAATCTGTAGGTTAATACAACAAGACGAACCCCATAGGCGAGAGTGCGTTTGGGAGAGAGTTTTAGGGGAGCCTGGTTAGAAGACGAGCTTTTGTCGAGTTCATGCAGCCAACTTGAGAGTTGTTAACAGTAACGAAACTTCACCAGTTCCCTTCACACTACCCCACACTCCCTCCCCACCCCCTCCCCAGGCTTTAAAAGGCACTCTGCAGCCCCATGGCTTCACCATTGCTTGGACACGGAGGTGATCCCGACGCTCTTTCGTGCCCCCACCCCCTCTCCTGCCATCTTCCCATCCCCTCCCCAGGCACTGAAGGGCACTCTCCAGCGGCAGGGCTTCACGTTCGAGTCGGAGACGGACACGGAGGTGATCCCGAAGCTCGCCAAGTTCGTGACTCCACTCATTCCTCTTTTCTGCCTCTCTCCCCGTCCTCCCCAGGCGCTGAAGGGCACTCTGCAGCGGCAGGGCTTCACGTTCGAGTCGGAGACGGACACGGAGGTGATCCCGAAGCTCGCCAAGTTCGTGTACGACAAGCTGCTACAGTCCGAGGGCGGGCAGGGCGGCGAGGGCCTGGCCAACGGGAGCGCAGGTAGGAGCGTTGGGATGATGGGTGGGGAGTATGGTTGAGAATAAGAATAGGAGAAGCGAGAGGAAGGAGAGCGAGGAGTGATCCCAAAGCTCGCCAAGTTCGTCTAGTACAAGCTGCTGCAGTCAGAGGGCGGTCACGGCGGCGAGGGCCTGACTAACGGCGTCAAGAGCACGAAGAGCACAGGTTGCGGAGGGGCAGGTAGTAGAAGGGGGTTCGGGTACTAGCGACGGGAGGGACGGCAGGAGGGACGGACAGCGAGAGGTGATTCTGTAGCTCCCCATTTCGTCTACGTCAATCTGCTGCAGTCGGAGGGCGGGCACGGCGCCGAGGCCATGGCCAACTTCGTCGGCGCCAGGAGCAAGAAGAGCGCAGGCAGGGGAGGGGCGGGTAGTACAAGGGGGTCGTCAAGAACCGCGCACTTCCCCAACCAGCTCGTCGCCTGCAAGCGCAGCAGACCTCTCATCCCTCCCCCCTCGTCCGCTTCCATCCCCCCTCATTCTCGCCCTTGCATTCTCCTGCCCCCTCCCATACCCCCTCCCTCCCATACCCCCTCTCTCACCATCAGCCAACGGCGACGGTGCTGGTGAGCGCGTGGCGTTCACCCAAGTGGTGATGGAGGTGATGCGGCAGCTGGAAGGCGCGCTGCTCTTTCTCCTTCCCTTACATCCCTGCCCTCTCTCCTCCCCTTATCCCTTCCCGATCAGCCAACGGCGACACGCCAGGCGAGCGCGTGGCGTTTACCCAGGTGGTGATGGAGGTGATGCGGCAGCTGGAGGGCGCCTACGCGCTGCTCTTCAAAAGCCCGCACTTCCCCAACCAGCTCGTCGCCTGCAAGCGCGGCAGCCCGCTCCTCCTCGGAGTCAAAATCCCCTCAGACGGCCGAGTCAAGTCCGCGTTCGACATAGTAGGGGCCGAGGAGGGGGGGCTAGTGCGGGGGGGTGCGGCGACTGGCCCCAGGGAGCTGTTTTTAGCGAGTGATGCGAGTGCTGTTGTGGAGCATACGAAGAAGGTGATGGTTATAGAGGATAACGAGGTGGTGCATATCAGGGATGGCGTGGTTTCACTGTTTTCATATGAGCCAGATAAGGCCAAGAGGGGGCTACCGCCCTCCACCGCACTGCAACGCGCTCTATCCACCCTGGAGATGGAGGTAGAGCAGATAATGAAGGGCAGCTATGATCACTTCATGCAGAAAGAGATTCACGAACAGCCAGAGAGTCTCACCACGACGCTCAGAGGGAGGCTGATACACGGCAAGGCGGACTCGCTCTCCCCTACTGCCTCCAATGCCTGTGCTGTCGCCAGCTCGCTCCAACCCTCGGCAGCGGCAGCAGCGGCAGCGGCGGCGGCGGCGGCAGCTGGCATCGCTTCTGCGTCTACCACCGCTTCCATCGCTGTTCCTGGTTCGGGTTCAGCTGGGAGCAGCCCGTCATCATCAGCAGCAGCAGCAGGGGGGGTTTCCGGGCTACCGCCCCTCTCCCCTCTCTCCAAGCTTACCCATGACAGCCGCGGCAGCTCTAACCCGTGGGCAGAGGAGAAAGGAGTGCTTCTTGGCGGCTTGAAAGAGCACCTCCTCACCATCCGTCGCAGCAGGCGGATTATCTTCGTCGGGTGCGGGACCAGTTACAACGCAGCCCTGGCCGTGCGTCCCTTGCTGGAGGAGCTCTCAGGGGTGGCGGTGCAGTTAGAGCTGGCTAGTGACATGTTGGACAGACGCGCGCCTGTCTATAGGGAGGATACGGCGGTGTTTATGAGCCAGTCGGGCGAGACGGCGGACACGCTAGCGGCGCTGGAGTATGCAAGGGCGAGGGGGCGCTGTGCGTGGGCGTGACTAACACAGTGGGGAGTGCCATTGCTCGGGGGACGCACTGCGGGGTGTTCATCAACGCCGGTGCTGAGATTGGCGTTGCAAGCACCAAGGTGAGTGCTGGATGTTGCTCGTACTAGAGTGTGTGTTGGTGGCAAGAGGTAGGAGTATGCACGGGCGAGGGGGCGCACTGTGTGTGGGCGTGACCAACACAGCGGGGAGTGCCATTGCCAGGGGAACGCACTGCGGGCTGTTCATCAATGCGGGTGCTGAGATTGGCGTCGCCAGTACAAAGGTAAGCTGCCAGCACCAAGGTGCCAAGGTGAGTTCGCAGAATAAAGGCTATTGCCAGGAATCTGCATGAACCAGGTTGGGACTTTTCAGCGGGCTGGCTGTTGTCTTCAGTGGCAAAAATGGTCGTGCTTAAAGCAACTCTGACCCCATTTTCACGTCGCTTCGGCCTCTATTTGGTTGCCCTATTGTAACCACTGCAGGCGTACACGAGTCAGATTGCAGTGCTGGTGATGATGGCGCTGGCGATTGGGGAGGACAGCATCTCGACACGGGAGAGGAGAGATCGGATCATCGACGGGCTCATTGACCTGCCCAGTAAGTATGCCTCTTGTGCTGATGAGTACCTGGCACCCACCATGGCACCCACCATGGCACCCACCATGGCACCCACCATTGCACCCACCATTGCACCCACCATTGCACCCACCATTGCACTCATAATCCTACAGTTGCAGCTCGTTTCTTAGACAGCGATCACAGACGACCTGCAATGCCAACCATCTCCCATCAGCTGCTGGCCTGGGAGCTGTCAGGCGAGCAGAGCCTGCTGGTGTTTGGGCGCGGGTACAACTATGCAACTGCGGTAAAGGGGGCGCTGAAGGTGAAGGAGGTGGCGCTGATGCACAGCGAGGGCATTCGACCCTTCACTACTCATTCTCCACCCCCCTTTTTCCCTCTTCCCCTTCGCCAGGGAAGGTCCGTCAAGTGTTAAGGCTTGACTCTGAAATTCAGCAGCTAGCCCGGGAGCTGTCGGGCGAGCAGAGCCTGCTGGTGTTTGGGCGCGGGTACAACTACGCTACGGCGGTGGAGGGCGCGCTGAAGGTGAAGGAGGTGGCGCTGATGCACAGCGAGGGCATCCTGGCTGGCGAGATGAAGCACGGCCCGCTTGCCCTGGTCGATGCAACACTGCCGATTATAGTTGTGGCGACAAGAGACGACACGTGCAGGTGAGTTGCGAAGCGGTGCTGGCAGTGGGTAGGTGAGCAAGAGCTGCTGCTGCATGTGATGGGAGCAAGAGCACAGCCCGCTCGCTCTGGTTGATGCCACGCTGCCATCTTGTGGTGGCGACCAGAGGCGGCACATGCAGTCGAGTGCTGGTTAAAGGTTATGTGAGCAGCTGGCTTGTTGCACTCTGGCTGGCGAGATGAGGCATGGCCCGCTCGCCCTGGGGACACGAGACGACAGGCGCAGGTGAGGAGCTTGAGCTGGGGGTGTAAATGGAGGGGGTGAGAGGTGCTGGCTGTGAGGTGACATGAGATGACAAGTACTGGTGGGTCAAGAGCTGCTGGTTGTGAGTAGGTGAGGAGTTGGTGGTGGGGTGTAGGATGGCATCGCGGATGGTTGAACCTCTTCTTCAGAGACTGCCAGTCTTGCCGGAACTGCTATCATTCCTCGCTTGTGCTCCCCTCTCCAACCTTTCCTCCCTCCTTCTGCCAATGCAGCAAGCAGCAGTCGGTGATTCAGCAATTGCAGGCCCGCAGCGGCCGATTGATTGTGATTTGCTCTGAGGGAGATGCGGATCTCATGTGTCCAATGGTGCGGCAAAGATCATCGAAGTGCCACATGTGGAGGACTGCCTGCAGCCGGTTATCAACATAATTCCTCTCCAGCTCCTGGCGTACCATTTGACGGTCATTCGGGGATACAATGTGGATCAACCTCGGAACCTCGCCAAGAGTGTGACGGTAGAATGAATGGATATTGCAGGGTGGTTTTGCATAACATCGTTGTTGTGATTTTTGTTTCAAGTAGTGTTATCGTTGATAGTTGAGCACGCGCCTCTAACTTCTGACTGTAAGGGGGTGTTATAATAGCTGTTTGTTTTGGGTCGTGGATGAGCAACAACTGCTGTTCTAGAGGCAATAGATTGGGTAGGAGAATTAATGAGAATTACTATGCCTACGTTTTGATAGTGGAGTGCGTAAAATACTGGAATACGCGTGGAGGAAAATACATTGCTGAGCCATCCTCCCGGCCACAAACGGGGGATGCATCACAGCCTCTGAGGACAGCCTCCGCCGAGGCGGCATGTCAGGAGGAGGATGGCGCAAAGCCGAGAGAAGTATGAGAGGGGGTGTCTGGTGGGGGAAGCCACATTTGGTGGTGTTGCCTTGCGCCACGGCCTCGAAGCCAAACCTCCGCCACTTGGTGGGTATGCGCGACGGCCCCCAACCAAACCTCCGCCGCCAAAAACTTGCGAAACGCAACCGAGTGACATTGTTTCGCAAACCGATCGTATATCTCGCGATCGAAGTTGGGGTGCAAAATGATTCGATAACTTACCATTAAACCACTTTAAACCGATTTTCACATCGTTTTGTTCCGCTAGCAGCCAATCTCCCCTTCAACGTCCCCCGCTACTCTCCCGCCACAACTTGAGCCTCCGCCAAAGCCTTTACCGCGCCTACCAAGCCTACAGCCGCAGTGGCGTGTGCTCCTGGGTGCGCTACTTCCGGTGCCTCCTCCCCAAATCCCGCTTCCCTCCCACATCCCACTTCCGCTCACCCCGCCGCCAGCCTCCTGCGGTTTGCGCGGCAGAGCAGGGCAGTCAGCTCACGCCAATTCATCAATTCATCAATTCCTCAATTTCTCTCTGCGTTTTCTCCAGGTTTCTAAAAATTCGCAGGCTCAGTAGTTACTCATGGTACGGCTACTCCATCTGCTGCTGAACGCGCTGCCGCTGCTCCCGCATCACAGCGCAGCGCAGTAAATATCTGGTCCCGTCGATATGAGCTTCTTAGAAAGCGCGTCGCTCGGTTTAATTTCGGTTTGAAAGAGCGTCCACGAATGGCTGCCTCCGCGTTTCCACGGGCGATGTCTGCGTCGCTGCATCCGCGGAGGCCGGAGTCATCCGCGCGGAGGCTCGAGCCGCCGGACGCCGATCGTTTTCCGCCGCGGTGCAACGGCCGCGGTGCAACGGCCGTGGTGCAACGGCCGTGGTGCGGCGCCATGCGTCGTGCGGAGGCGTGAGCCATCGTCGTCACCGCATGTTGTGGAGTCGACGGCAGCGGTTTGTAGCCGCGCGGTTGATAACGAGAGGCCTTCATCCCGCGGAGGGTCGCGGCGGCTGCGACAGCGGTCCCCTCGCGCGCGTATCGCCGCGCGACGCATATCGCCGTTGCAAGCATAGCGCCGCTAGACTTTTGCTTCGCTATCAACGGTCTGTTTCTTTCCGCTCTCTTGTTGGTGCTCCTGCTATAGCCTGCAGTTTCGTTCGCTAATCGCTGCGTCGTTTCATTCCGCTGTCGATTCTCGCAGATTCGCGTCAAGACCGCTGTCTCGCAGATCTGCAGTGAGACGTCGCAGATTGTCGTTTCGTGCAGCAGCACCGACACCGGTGACTGCTGCCAGTCTTGCAGCGGACGAGCGATTTTCACGCGACTCTGCCGCGAGGCTCTGGACGGACCTTGGATCAGCGCGCGCGCGCCTCTCTCCCGCCGTTGCGCGTTCGTCCCTCTCGACGTTGCGCGCGCGTCACTCCGACGGTGCGCGCGTCAATCCAATGGTGCGCGCGTCAATCCGACGGTGCGCGCGTCAATCCGATGGTGCGCGCGTCAATGGGGGCGCGCGGGACTGGGCTGGACGCTTTCCTCCTCGGCTGATGCTGCCGTTGCCCGTGGCGACGCATGGGGAATGGGGGCGTCACTCCGACGGTGCGCGTGGGACTGGACTCGACGCCTTTCCTCCTCGGCTGCTGCTGCTGCTGCCGTTGCGCTTGGCGACTGGTACGTGCGAGGGGCGGAGCTGTGGGGGGCGAGTAGCGCATATAGAGCGTCTCGAGTCGTGCTCCTTGTGCTCGAGTCCTCGCCATTTTCGACGGATCCTAACACGCATTCGTCGTTCGTGTGTGTGGCTCTCTCTCTGTGCGCGCGTCTGTGTCTCTCGCCATGCTGCGATGCGAGGAGGCGGGTGGAGCCAGCAGCGCTTAAGCCTGCGGCAAGAGTGGTGCTGCAACGACGGTGGCGGAATGGTGGCAGAATGAGGGCGGAATGGGGGCGCGTGGGACAAGACGCCTTTCACTGGGCCACTCTCTTCCAAGGCTGCTCCTGGCGTTGCCCGTGGCAACACAAGGGGAATGGGCGCGCGTGGGACTCGACGCGTTTCTCCTACAGCTGCTGCTGCTGCTGCTGCTGCTGCCCTTACCACAGCTGCTGTCCTTGGGGACGGGTACATGCGAGGGGCAGGGCTGTGGGGGGGCGAGTAGCGCATTCAGAGTGTCTCGAGGCTAGCTCCCTCTGCTCGAGTCCAGCTCCTCGTCACCTGATCCCAACACGGTTTCCTGTGCTTGTGGCGTGCCGGTGCATGCGTCTGCTTCTAACTGTGGCGGAATGCTGCATGCACGGCACGGCGTACACGTCTTGGAGGAGTGGAGAAGTGGTGGCTGGCAGCCCTTGCTTGGAGCGGTTGTGGCAGCTGCGGCGACTGCGGCGGCGGCGGCAGCAGCAGAGAAGTAGTAGGGGGCAGCTGTAGGGGGGGCGCGTAGGACGCTATTTTTGAGGCGCCTCAGAAGGGGGCAGCTGTAGGGGGGGGGCGTAGGACCGCATATAAAGCGCCTCGAGTCTTGCTTCCTCTGCTTGAGTCCTCTGCTTGAGTCCTCTGCTTGAGTCCTCTGCTTGAGTCCTCTGCTTGAGTCCTCGCCCCTTTTGCCTGATCCTAACACTTTTCTCTTTCCCGTGTTTGTGGTTGTGGCTCGCTGTGCGTCTGGTTCTGCCGGTGGCGGTGTGCTGCGGGCACTGCGCGGCCCACACGCCTTGGCCCACACGCCTTGACCCACACGCCTTGGCCCACACGCCTTGGCCCACACGCCTTGACCCACACGCCTTGGCCCACACGCCTTGGCCACACGCCTTGGCCCACACGCCTTGACCCACACGCCTTGGCCGACACGCCTTGAAGACGAGGCGGCCGAGCAGCAGTGGTGGTGGCAGCTCTTGGTTGTTTCTGCCGGTGGCGGTGTGCTGTGTGCACGGCGTGGCCCACACGCTTTGGAGAGGAGGCGGCCAGAGCAGCAGTGGTGGCAGCCCTTGGTTGGATGACGGAGGGGAGAGTGGGGGAGTGGGGAGGGAGCGGGCGTAGCAGCCTTTGCTTGCAGCCGTGGTGGCAGCAGCAGCTGCGGCAGAGGAGGCAAATGGTTGCTGGAGAGGGGGAGTACTGAGGGCGGGCTGGGATCAGCAACCAGAGGTGAGCCCTCTTCCCATACTTCCTGCACTCACTGCTTCGTTTCTTTCAACCCTGCATTCACTGCTGTCTGATTCGCCTCTTCCTTGCAAGTTCTCCCTCCCTCCTCCTGCACTCTCTTCTCTTCTCTCCTCTCCTTCCCTCCTGCATACTCCCCTCCCCAGCAGCTCGCTTGGTGCTATCTGGAGGCAGCGTCGCAGGCTGGTGGAGAGGGGAGCGAACTGATTGAGAGGGGTTCGGATTCCACACCCAAAGGTGAGCATTTGCTCGATTCGGAGTGAGAGTATTCTTCGCCACGTCTCTCACTTAAGTGAGCATTCCCCTGTTCTTCACCACTTCCTCCCACTCAGTATCCCTCCCTCGGTTGATTTTTGAGGCGCCTCAAAAATCCACTCAGTATCCCTCAGTTGATATGCCTTGCCTTGGTTGATTTCTCTCTTCCTTGCAACTCCTGCTTCCTCCTGCACTCACTCCTGTTCTCGCTGCCCATTCCCCCATTTTCCTCCCCACCCCACCCCACCCCACCCCACACCCCTTCATTCTCCTTAGCAGCTCGCCTGGCTCTGGCTCGGAGCACCAGGGCACGCAGTGGAAAGGGTTGAAGTCTTGTCAGAGCCGTGCGCGCAGGCTCTGGTTGGGAGTCCCCTCCTACGCAGTGGAAAGGGTTGAAGTCTTTTCAGAGCCGTGCGCGCAGGCTCTGGTTGGGAGTCCCCTCCTACGCAGTGGAAAGGGTTGAAGTCTTTTCAGAGCCGTGCGCGCAGGCTCTGGTTGGGAGTCCCCTCCTACGCAGTGGAAAGGGTTGAAGTCTTAGGGGTTGCGTTGCAGCCAGAGCAGGTTCGGCCTTGACCATTCCTTTGAATCGCCCTCGCTTCCTCGCTTCTGGAGATACTTTTGCTACTGTCTATTGGCTACTTTCGCTCGCACTTTGGCTACTGTCTATTGGCTACTGTCTCTCGCACTTTTGCTTTCAGTCTGTCTCGTGATCTCGTGTTGACCAATCACTTCCCGTCTCTTTCTTGCAGGTACCAGCCACTCGGTTGGCTCCGTGGCAACCGAGTTGGCTCCGTGGCAACCGAGTTGGCTCCGTGGCAACCGAGTTGGCTCCATGGCAACTCGGGTTCCCCATGGTGCTCCCTTCTCTCCCCCCAGGGTGCTCCCCTTCCCGCGCGTTCGCATCATGGTGCCCCATTCGGCTATTGAGGTATGGGCTGTTGAGGTAAGGGGGAGGAGGGGGGGGTGGGGGCGGGGGGTTTGGGGAAAGGGCCAGAGCGAAAGGAGCAAGCATGCAGCTCACTCCCTTAGGGGCAACACCCTCTGTGGTTCCTGCCTTGTTGTTTGGTTGGTGGTCAGTGGAAAGTGCGTGGCACGGCAGTCGTTCCTCAAGTGACAATACTTGTCAATATACCTGTCAATATACTTGTCAATATACCTGTCAATAAAACTGTCAATATACCTGCGGAAAGTGGAAAGTGCGTGGCACGGCAGTCGTTCCTCAAGTGACAATACTTGTCAATATACCTGTCAATATACCTGTCAATATACCTCACGGCGTATCATATAATGGAACCTGTCAGAGCCGTGCGCGCCAGCTCTGGTTGGGAGGAGTCCCCTCCTACGACGCTTTCGTAAGCAAGATTTGAGTCTTGGACCGCCCGTGCACTTTCCACTGCCACTATTCGCACCTCAAGGCAGAGTCATGGGGGGTTACTGGTTCCGAAGGGGAGTGGGTTGCGTTCTGCTCCTAGTGCTGGGGGGGTGGGTTAGGGGGGTTGGGGTTGGGAGGTAAACGGGGAGGGTGGTGTGGTACAAGGGGGCCTGAACCCCCCTGGGTGAGTTCGCTGAAAGCTGGGTGCCTGCAATCACCACTGTAAGTTGAGCGAGAGGGAGAGGGGAATAGGTGGCCTGAGACCCTCTCCCGAAGTTGAGAGCGAGGGGCGGGAGAAAGGGGGCTTGAAACTGCCTGGGTAACTCGAGTGAGAGGCAAGAGTGGGGCCTGAAACTCCTAGAGTGAGTGAAGTGACGGCAAAGGAGGGCGGCTGCTATCGCTAGAGTAAGTTGAGTGAGTGGGTGGAAGAGGTTGAAGGGGATGAACCCCGTGTGTAGGTTGAATGAGAGGCAAAGGCGGGGGCTGAAACCCCTGGAGTTAGTGAAGTGAGGGCAAAGGAGGGCGGCTGCAACCAGAAGAGTAAGTTGAGTGCGAGGGGGAGGGGAAAGGGGGCGTGAAACGTTTTGGGTAAGGTTAGTTAGAGCCAAGAGTGGCGCCTGAAACCCCTAGAGTTGGTGTAGTGAGGGGCAAAGGAGGGCTTCTTTAACCAGAGTAAGTTGCGAGATTGGGGAGGAGATTGTGGGATTGAAAATCTCTGGGTAAGGTTAGTGAAACTCTTGAGGCCAAGAGTGGGGGCTGAAACCTCTGTAGTGGGTGAAGTGAGGGGAAAAGGGGGGCTTCTTCAACCACCAGTGTAAGTTGCGTGAGTGGTTGGGCAGAAATGGCACGGGCGTTGATTCCCCAGCGTTTTGAATGAGAGGAAAGGCAGGGGCTAAAACCCCTAGAGTGGGTGAAGTGAGGGGCAACGGAGGGCGGCCGTGACTACCTGAGTAAGTTGAGCAAGAGGGAGAGGAGAATTGGGGGCCTGAAACTCCTCAGGTGAGTAGAGTGAGTGGGGCAAAAGGGGGCGCCAGAGGGGCAAAGGGGGCGACAGAGGGCAAAGGGGCGCCAGAGGGGCAAAGGGGGGCGCCAGAGGGGCAAAGGGGGGCGCCAGAGGGCAAAGGGGGGCGCCAGAGGGGCAAAGGGGGCGCCAGAGGGGCAAAGGGGGCGCCAGAGGGCAAAGGGGGGCGCCAGAGGGGCAAAGGGGGCGCCAGAGGGGCAAAGGGGGGCGCCAGAGGGGCAAAGGGGGGCGACAGAGGGGCAAAGGGGGCGCCAGAGGGGCAAAGGGGGCGACAGAGGGGCAAAGGGGGCGCCAGAGGGGCAAAGGGGGCGCCAGAGGGGCAAAGGGGGGCGACAGAGGGGCAAAGGGGGCGACAGAGGGGTGGTGAAAGACCCCACGGTAAGGTGAGGGCGCAAGGCAGGGGAGGGTGGTCGAAATCTTCTTGGTTAAAGTTGTGAGGGGCAGGGGGGAAGAGGGGCGTTAAAACTCAAGGCAAGGGCGACCGAGGGGCAGAAGGACCCCCCTCTTCTGCCTTTAGTTCACCTTAACCTGGGGGTTTTAGCCCTCCTCTCTTTTACCTGGGGGTTCGCCTTACCTCAGGGCTTTAAGCCTCCCTCCCATGTCTTGCCCTCGTGTTGCCCTAAGGGTCTTGCCGTCCCCTCCTTAAACCCCGGGGTAGGTTGAGTCTTAGGGGCCTGAAACCCCTCTGGGTAAGTTTGAGTGAGAGCGAATGGGGGGCCTGAAACCTCCCCGGGTAAGTTGAGTGAGAGGGAATAGGGGGGTTGAAATCCCCTGGGGTAAGTTTGAGTGAAAGGGAATAGGGGGCCTGGAACCCCCCCGCGTAACGTGAGTGCGAGGGAATAGGGAGCCTGACACCCCCCCCCCCCCCCCCACCCCCCCTGGTATGTTGAGTAAGAGGGATGAGTGAGAGGGAATAGGGGGGCCTGAAACCCCACGGGGAATAGAATAGGATATAGAATAGGGAGTAGGGGAGTAGGGGAGTAGGGGAGTAGGGGAGTAGGGGAGTAGGGGAGTAGGGGAGTAGGGGAGTAGGGGAGTAGGGGAGTAGGGGAGTAGGGGAGTAGGGGAGTAGGGGAGTAGGGGAGTAGGGGAGTAGGGGAATAGGGGAATCCCTGCTGCTCTTGGGCGTGGGTGCTCTTGAGCGTGGGTGCTCTTGAGCGTGGGTGCTCTTGGGCGTGGGTGCTCTTGAGCGTGGATCCTCTTGGGCGTGGGTGCTCTTGAGCGTGCGTGCCCTTGGGCGTGGTTGCTCTTGAGCGTGGATGCACTTGAGCGCGGGTGCTCTTGAGTGTGGGTGCTCTTGGGCGTGGGTGCTCTTGGGCGTGGGTGCTCTTTGGCGTGGTTGTTCTTGGCCGAGGTGAGGTAGGAGTGGCCTCCCTCGGCGGCGGGGTCGGAGATGCCGAGCCCCCCCAGAGTCGGCGGCAGCGAGGCCTGCACCCAGATCCGCCGCTGCTCGTCGGCGTGCTGCGGGCTGTTTGGGAGCACGCCGCAGGGAGCACGCCACGAGCGCCGTGGTGAAGTGGCGCTCCCCCCAGCCGGACCACTCGGCTGCGGGGTGCAGGTGCGGCGGTATGCTTGGTATGCTCGGTATGCTTGGTATGCTTGGTATGCTTGGGATGCTTGGTATGCTGGGTATGCTTGGTACGCTTATTATGCTCGATATGCTTGGTATGCTTGGTATGCTGTGACAGGGAGAGGCGAGGGAGGGGGTCTCAGTCCCCAAGTGGCAGGGCGCGGCAAGGGAGCGGGTTTTAGATCCCAAGTGACAGGGTGAGGCGAGGGAGGGGGTTTCAGACCCCAAGTTACCATGCGGTGCAAGGGAGGGGTTTTCAGACCCCAAGTTACAATTTCAGGCAAGGGAGGGGGTTTCAGACCCGAAAAGTGACAGGGTGAGGCAAGGCAGGGGAATCAGAACCCAAGTTCCATTGAGACAAGGGAGGGGATTTCGGACCTTAAGTGAAAGGGTGAGTCAAGGGAGGGGATTTCAGACCTTTTAGAGAAAGGGTGAGTCAAGGGAGGGGATTTCTGACCCGAAGTTTCAAGCCGAGGCATTGGATATAGGGTGGGATTGGGTTCAGGCCCTAAGTTACAAGTGAGGGTGGGATGGGGAGGTTTGGGTGAGATGGGGAGGGATGGGGGGAGAGTGGGTGGGTGAGATGGCGTGGGATGGGAAGAAAGGGTGAGTTGGAAGAATGGGAAGAGAGGGTGGGATGATGGTTGAGATAGGGTAGGGTGGTTGAGCTGGGGTGGGATATGCACGGGTTGGGGATGGGTGGAATGGTGCCAGAGTGGGTGAGACAGGGGAGGAGAGGAAGAATGGGCGAGTTAGGTGGTGTGCTGGGTTAGGTGGGATGGGATGTGATAGGCAGGGAGGGGATGGGTGGAATGGTACAAGAGTGGGTGAGATGGGGTTGGCTGATTGCAGCTGAGCCGACGTTAGTAAGTTGGTCTAATGGGTCAGGATAAGTGACACGGGAGGCAAGATGGTCAAACGGGTTTGTATTTTGGTAGTAACATGGAGGGAAATGGGTTGTTTGATGACTCTGGTTGATCACCGTAGCATATCTGGAAAATATTTTTCAACCATTGCCATGTCGAGGTGAGATGGCCATGTTGATTAGAAATATGAATGTAAAGGTAGGCTATACATGAAAGATATAACTGTTTATTTTCTCCTAAGTAGAGGCTGGAAATCTCAATGAATAAATTGAGCACGATATTTGCTGAATGTGAGCTTACGTGTTTTTGGCAGGCGGCCACAGGGGCAGCCGCTGTCGGTCTGGGTAGTCGTGTCACACAGTCCACGTGGCACTGCCCTGCATGACAGCCATGGTCGCCGTGGACTTGCCGGCAATGACTCAGCAGCTGCGTACAAGAGGGTGACACTATTTGGTGGAGTGCTGAACAATTGTGCATGGCGAGACAGAATGAGGACCCGAACCGTACTTCACCGATGTTTTCACGCTTGGGAACTTGTCCAACCGTACAGAGTCTGCAGATACCGTTTGTATCTGCCCCCACTCAGGGAAACCTGACAAGGGGAATGCGATTTCTTGGCTCGCAGACTCTCGAATCCAGGGCCGCGCGTGCACCCCTCAACCCAAGCTTTCTTGGTCTTGGTTGCCAGTTCTATTCGTGCTTCGCTATCTTCGTATCCTCGCGTACTACTCGCTCGTGCGATAGAGCATAGCCGCCTAGTCTCCAGCAGTAGAAGCCTTTGGATTGCTTTGACGTGACTATTTCTCGTTATATCTCGCGATTTTCCTCTTCCTCGAGGCTGCACTTTAGAAGGAGTCCGTTTTTCGTTTCCTCTCGTATTATTGCCCCTCCATCTCGTTCCGTCTCGTCGGTTCTGCGACCTAGTTTTCACCGCACCGGCCACCATGGCGGCGGGAGGAGCGGCGGGGCGAAATTTCTTGATCGCGGTGGACGATTCGGAGGGCAGTCGCCACGCGTTACAGTACGCGTGCGAAAAGGTCGTCGAAGATAACGATAGGGTTACCATCGTTCACGTGCGACCAAAGATTGAAGGTACGGCCTAGGGATGGTGATTGCCTCAGCGGTCCTTTTACTTCCCTTTCTTTCCGTTTCCGAATAAGTGAGTTTTTCCGTTTCGGTTGGACCTAGGTATGTTCAACCGTCTTCACTTAATCGTTGTTGTCGTTCTTGTGACGGCATGGAATAACGTGGCGTGACGTGGCATGGCTTCTTGCAGAGGTGGACTTTTATGCCGCGCAGACCTACAAACAGGAGTTCGAGGAACAGTACCTTCGAGATAGTCACAAGCTGCTCGACAAGTACCAGAAACTCGCCAGCACTTACAAGGTGAGCCTATAACGAGACAAGGTACACGTGAAACCTATCTCAATTGGTCGTTCTCAATTGCTCCCTTTTCGATTTCTAGCTTCTCCTGCAACTTGCTTTCTGCCCTTCGTCTCCTCTCCCTCCCTGCCGTCCGTCCGTCCCTCCCCCTTTCCCTTGCATTTCGTCTGCTTTAACGCTCTTCCGTCATCCCCGCCGCTATGCCATCCGAATTTGAATGAATCTATCTGAATCTAAATGGATCGCAGCCGTCGTTCAAGAGCGAGTGGGTGACGAAGAGCGCGTGTGGGGACGCCAGGGAGAAGGTTCTAGAGACGGCGCACGAGGTCGACCCTGATGTGATTGTAATGGGGAGTCACGGGCACGGCGCTATAACGAGGTGCACATGCCTTCTGATTTCTTGCAATGCATGCACATGCACACGGACATTCACATCACAAGCCCTTCACGCATGGACGTGCCTTATTTCCATGCAGGGTTCCCCAGGCGGGGTATTGACACATGATGAGTTCCCACTCTCCCCTTAGCACCCAGCCATCTGCAAACAGCTCTGTCCTTTATTTGGACTAACCTCTGGGTGGTCCACCCCCCTCTCCCACCCCCCTCTCCCACCCCCTCTCCCACCCCCCCCCCCCCCCTCTCCCACCCCCCTCTCCCACCCCCCTCTCCCACCCCCCTCCCCACCCCCCTCTCCCACCCCCTCTCCCCCCCCTCTCCCACCCCCTCTCCCACCCCCCTCTCCCACCCCCCTCTCCCACCCCCCTCTCCCACCCCCCTCTCCCACCCCCTCTCCCACCCCCTCTCTCCCACCCCCCTCTCCCACCCCCCTCTCCCACCCCCCTCTCCCACCCCCCTCTCCCACCCCCTTCTCCAACCTGCCACTTTGTCGCTGTGTTATAAGATCGATTTGTTTTCTGTCTGCAGCCTAACATGTCTGGATGGTGTAGTCGGTTATCACGCCAGTCTCACACACTGGAGGTCTCCGGTTCGATTCCGGGTTCAGACATCCTTTTTGGTTTTCCTGCCAAGATGATTGTTCACAGGGTGCCTGCCTCTCTTCCATTTCTCCCTTCCCTTCACCAGGTTGCGATCTGTGGGGCTAAGTGACCCACGTTTCCCACGCTGTCAAATGTGCAGTAGTGCTTCGATTTCATATGCCTACCGCTCCCTTCTCTTCCCCCCTTGGCCCCTGTCTTCTCCCCCACCCTCATTTCAGAGTGTTATTGGGGAGTGTGAGTGACCACGTGGCACATGCAGCCAACTGTGCGGTCTTGATCGTCCCAACCCCCCATCAATCCGTGCCATCCACCGTCGCTTCCGCTATCCCCGGGATGGATGCCCTTTCTAAAATAGTCAATTCAGCTCACTAGTACGTTGATAGGTAACGGTGCATCCCCTCACAGGACTAGCACATCCACCTCTGCTATCCCTGGGATGGACGCCCTCTCTATAATAGCCAACTCAGCTCATTTGTGCACTGATTGGTCACTTCATAGCACTGGTTGGCATATCCCCCCGGTCACTACCATCCCTGGGGTGGATGTGCTCTCTATACCATCTCTCTAGAATAGTGAATGCAGCTCGTTAGCAGATCCAGCACCTCTGTCCTCAGCCCGTTCCCTTGAGACTGTTACACCTGTAGGAACAATACTGACCACATACAGTAAATCTGCTGTTTAGAAAGGAGGCTTGGTGGGTGTGTGTCCAGCATTTATGCGGCATATCACATGTTTACACCTCAAATCTGTAATCAATATCATTCGTGCCATCACGTCTGAAGAACAGAGTCCAGCGCGGTAGGCAAAGCCTTCAAAGGTACGGGGAAAGGAATTCAACCAGCAACGAGTCAAGCAGAGAATGGCATGGTATGATAAGTTCTGTGCACAACGCCCATCAGTCACTACGTGAATCACAACTTGCAGCGGGATGGGGGATGGCCCAGCCACTCCCACCTATGCAGCAGGTCAACCCCCTCTTTCTTCCTAGCTATCGGGACATGGCTCTAAACCCCGCTCTGCAGTACCCTCGCACTGGTATAGCCCTCCCTTCCCACAGCACGTCACTTGCCCTCTTCTTCCATGTGGATGGCGGCACGCAGGCACTTGCCCCCGTGCAGCAGGTCAAAGGCCTCAGTGGTGGCAGTGATCCTGGAGAGGGGCAGGTTGCCTTGAAGCCTTCTCAACACCACTGAAGCCACCAATGTAGTCCCTGTCCACAGACAGCACATCACTTGTTCTCCTCTTCCATGTGGATGGCGGCTTTTGAGGCGCCTCAAAAATCTTTCCACAGACAGCACGTCACTTGCCCTCCTCCTCTTCCATGTGGATCACGGCTCGCAGGCACTTGCCCCCGTGCAGCAGGTCAAAGGCCTCGTTGATCTTCGACAGGGGCAGGTTGTGCGTGATGTACTCATCCACCTTGATCTCCTGTTACCGAGTGACACAGCAAGGCGGGTGGATGGAGGTGGGGAGGCGGTGAGAACGAGGTTGTGCGTAATGTACCTTTTTTGAGGCGCCTCAAAAATGTACTCGTCCACCTTCGGCTCCTGTTTCCGGGCGACTCGAGAGGATGGGTTACAGAGATTCCAGAGGAAGAAATGCAAGAGTTAGACAGTGTGTGATTTACTTGTGAGACTTAGTGTCCTGATACCAAGGTACAGGACAAGAAGATGGGGAAAGGAAGAGAGGAATGAGAGGGTGGACTCAAGACACACGCCTCGTGACCAGTTGGAAGGGATCCCATACCTTGTTTATACACCAAGCGTACACCCAGTGCACACTGCAACCATAGTACCTTGCCCATATATTTCTCCACCAGCTCCGGCAATTGCGTGCGGCTCTTGAACCGCACGAACACCGTGCCGCGCCACATCCGCCCCGTGACCAGCTGACTGACAGGGGCGTGTGGAAATCGCCTGCCCCGCCGCCACCGCGTGGAGATCTCCTGCCCAGCAGCCGCCTCTCCAGTCATCACTGACTCGCCCCACCCCTTGTGGCAGCTCTCCATAACATCTCTCAACCACTGCATCTCTAACCCAGAGCATGTCTAACCCAGAGAATGTCTAACCCAGAGCATGTCTAACCCAGAGCATGTCTAACCCAGAGCATGTCTAACCCAGAGCATGTCTAACCCAGAGCATGTCTAACCCAGAGCATGTCTAATTCTCCTTGTTGACTTCTGAGTCGACTCAAAAGAGGTGACTTCTGAGTCGACTCAAAAGAGGTGACTTCTGAGTCGACTCAAAAGAGGTGACTTCTGAGTCGACTCAAAAGAGGTGACTTCTGAGTCGACTCAAAAGAGGTGACTTCTGAGTCGACTCAAAAGAGGTGACTTCTGAGTCGACTCAAAAGAGGTGACTTCTGAGTCGACTCAAAAGAGGTGACTTCTGAGTCGACTCAAAAGAGGTGACTTCTGAGTCGACTCAAAAGAGGTGACTTCTGAGTCGACTCAAAAGAGGTGACTTTTGAGTCGACTCAAAAGAGGTGACTTCTGAGTCGACTCAAAAGAGGTGACTTCTGAGTCGACTCAAAAGAGATGACTTTTGAGTCGAATCAAAAGAGGTGACTTCTGAGTCGACTCAAAAGAGGTGACTTCTGAGTCGACTCAAAAGAGGTGACTTCTGAGTCGACTCAAAAGAGGTGACTTCTGAGTCGACTCAAAAGAGGTGACTTCTGAGTCGACTCAAAAGAGGTGACTTCTGAGTCGACTCAAAAGAGATGACTTTTGAGTCGAATCAAAAGAGGTGACTTCTGAGTCGACTCAAAAGAGGTGACTTCTGAGTCGACTCAAAAGAGGTGACTTCTGAGTCGACTCAAAAGAGGTGACTTCTGAGTCGACTCAAAAGAGGTGACTTCTGAGTCGACTCAAAAGAGGTGACTTCTGAGTCGACTCAAAAGTCACCAGACCTCCAAACCAGTGCGCATCACGCCCAATCACGCCCAGCTTTGAGGCGCCTCAAAACTAAAAAGCATCAAGCCCAGCTTTGAGGCGCCTCAAAACTAAAAAGCATCAAGCCCAGCTTTGAGGCGCCTCAAAACTAAAAAGCATCAAGCCCAGCTTTGAGGCGCCTCAAAACTAAAAAGCATCAAGCCCAGCTTTGAGGCGCCTCAAAACTAAAAAGCATCAAGCCCAGCTTTGAGGCGCCTCAAAACTAAAAAGCAATCAAACCCAGCTTTGAGGCGCCTCAAATCTAGAAAGCAATCACGCCCAGCTTTTAGGCGCAGCAATCAAGCCCAACTCACCTTGTTCATATACTTCTCCACCAGCTCTTGAGTCGACTCAAAAGCAATCACGCCCAGCTTTGAGGCGCCTCAAAACTAAACAGCATTCAAGCCCAGCTTTGAGGCGCCTCAAAACTAAAAAGCATCAAGCCCAGCTTTGAGGCGCCTCAAAACTAAAAAGCATCAAGCCCAGCTTTGAGGCGCCTCAAAACTAAAAAGCAATCAAACCCAGCTTTGAGGCGCCTCAAAACTAGAAAGCAATCACGCCCAGCTTTTAGGCGCCTCAAAACTAGAAAGCAATCACGCCCAGCTTTTAGGCGCAGCAATCAAGCCCAACTCACCTTGTTCATATACTTCTCCACCAGCTCTTGAGTCAACTCAAAAGCAATCACGCCCAGCTTTCAGGCGCCTCAAAAATAAAAAGCAATCACGCCCAGCTTTGAGGCGCCTCAAAACTAAACAGCATTCAAGCCCAGCTTTGAGGCGCCTCAAAACTAAAAAGCATCAAGCCCAGCTTTGAGGCGCCTCAAAACGAAAAAGCAATCACGCCCAGCTTTGAGGCGCCTCAAAACTAAACAGCATTCAAGCCCAGCTTTGAGGCGCCTCAAAACTAGAAAGCAATCACGCCCAGCTTTTAGGCGCAGCAATCAAGCCCAACTCACCTTGTTCATATATTTCTCCACCAGCTCCGGCACTTGCGTGCGGCTCTTGAACCCCCCGAACGCCGTGCCGCGCCACACCCTTCCTGTCACCAGCTGGAAGGGGCGAGTGGAGATCTCCTGCCCCGCCGCTGCCACGCCGATAATGACCGACTCGCCCCACCCCTTGTGGCAGCACTCCAGGGCCGATCGCATCACGTTGACGTTTCCGATGCACTCGAAGCTGTAGTCCACACCGCCATCTGTGAGATCCACAATCACTTCTTGAACGGGCTTGCTGTGGTCCTTGGGGTTCACAAACTCGGTGACGCCAAAGTCCTTGGCTGCACAAGAGACGGTGAAAGAGAAGAAAGGAAGGGAAGGGCAGGGGAAAACGAGGCAGAGGAAGGGAGTCTGTTGATCACCGACTCGCCCCACCCTTGTGGCAGCACTCCAGCGTCGCCTGTATGACGTTGACATTCCCGATGCACTCGAAGCTGTAGTCCACACCGCCGTATGTGAGGTCAACTCCTGGATGGGCTTGGAATGGTCCTCGAGATTCACAAACCCTGTCACACCGAAGTCCTTAGCTGCACAAAGAAAGAGAAATAAGTGAATCCCCCGCCCCTTGTTGCAACAACGGGAAGGGAGAGAGAAAACGAAGCAGCGGAAGGGAGCCTGTTGTTGACTACAGACTCGCCCCACCCCTTGTGGCAGCACTGCTGACACCCCAAGTTCCTGATGCACTCAAAGCTGTAGTCCACTCCACTGTGGAAAGAGAGTGAGGAAAGGAGGGCAGAGAGCAAACGAGGGATGAGCCAATGTGCACTGCAGCACAACCCTTGGAAGCTGTAGACTGTAGTGCACGCCCCCGTCTGCCATACCCACTAGCACCTCCTGGATGGGCTCAAAATGGTCCTTGGGACTCACAAACACGCTCACACCAAACCCCTTGGCTGCACAAGACTGAGTAAAAGAGAGAGAGAGAGAAAGGGAAGGGAAAGAGAGAACGAGGCAGGTGAAGGGAGTCCGTTGACCACCGACTCGCCCCACCCCTTGTGGTGCCCTGGAGCGGTCAAGTCCACCCCAATGATGCGAGACGCCTTGTCTGCCCTGGCCCCCACTGTTCGTAATGAGTCCATTTTCCAGTGGGGGATGAGCGCCCATCCACTACCGTGTGTAATGAGTCTATTTTTCAGTCGACTCAAAAATAGACTCATTACACACGGTCTGCCCTGGCCCCCTCTGCTCTTACAAAGGGCAACAGGAAGCACACTGAGCACCCATCCACTACCACTATAGAGGCGCGTCAACAACACCAGGCCACTAGGGAGAATGCTGACCATACACCCACTACCACTGCCACATGCACCCCATGCTTCATCGCACACCTGTGTCGAACTTGGAGGGGTCAAGCCCACCCAAATGACGTGAGATGCCGTGGCCGCCTCTGCGTCATTTGAGGCATGGGTCAACATAGCTACTACTGCACATCCCACGTGTCACAGCACACCTGTGTCGAACTTGGAAGGGTCAATATCAACCCCAATGATGCGAGATGCCTTGGCCGCCTTTGCACCCTCCGCCACCTGCCAGCCACACACGGCACACCCGAAAGAACTCATGGGCCTATGACGCAAGACACAGCACACACAAATAGCACGCGGAGCTTACCACCAAAGTTTTTGAGAACTCTCAAAAACCAAATAGCAAGGGGAGCTTACCACCACCAAAGCCCTTAAAACTCACCACCAGATCGACAGTGCGTGTGACAATAACCTTGCTTTGAGACGTCTCTAAACGAGGGGAGCTTACCACCACAAACCTTAGACTCACCGCGAGACCGACAGTGCCTAGCCCAAAAATAGCGACCGTTGAGCCGGGCTCGACCTTAGCAGCATTCCACACCGCTCCCAGGCCTGGTGGTGGGGGGGTAGCGCAGGTGGGAGGACAGGAGAGAGTGGGGAGAATTGGTATAACAGCCAAGAAGAAACGGGGCAGGGAATAGAGGTCAAGGGCAGGAAAAGATCTGTACCTGTGGGGATGCCACAGCCCAGCAGGCCAAATTTGCTGAGCAGCGCTTGGGGGTTGACCTTGGCACAGACATGTCGTGCGCAACGGGTAGAAGGGCCATAGCAGGGAAGAATAATTTCAGGGCAAAACACTACGTTTCCTTACCAGTGTATTTTGAGTCGACTCAAAATACACCAAAACGCTACGTTTCCTTACCAGTGGGGATGCCGCAGCCCAGCAGGCAGACTTTGCTGAGCGGCGCCTCGCGGTTGACCTTAGCCACGGACACGGCGTGCACAACGAGTAAAAGGGCCGTAGCAGGGGATAGAAGAAAGAAAAGGTCGACGGACCAAGACAACGCCCGTTTCCGTACCAGTGGGGATGCCGCAGCCCAGCAGACAGACTTTGCTGAGCGGCGCATGGGGGTTGACCTTCGCCACGGACACGTCGTGCACCACGGTGTACTCGCTGAAGGTGCTCGTGCCCATGAAGTGGTAGATGGGCTCGCCGCGCACCGAGAAGCGCGGCTTGCCGTCTGCCAGCATCACGCCGCGACCTGGGTTTACAGGGTAGCACAAGGGGAAGGAAAGGGGGGGGCGGGGGGTTTACACCTTGGATGGGCTCCTTGGTCGGTGTACTCGCTGAAGGTGCTCGTGCCCATGAAGTGGTAGGTGGGCTCACCGCACACCGACAAGTGTGGATTGCCGTCTGCCAGCTTCACACCGCGGCCTTTGAGAATTCTCAAAAAGAGGGTGCACGGTACAAGGAACGGAGTCTATTTTTGAGGCTCCTCGAAATAGACCTTTGAGAATTCTCAAAAAGAGGGTGCCTGCTGCGCGGTGCAAGGAATGGCAGAGCGAAGGAATGAGGAGCTTGGCAGAGCCCAGGGGCCCGCGGGTGATTTTTGAGTCGACTAAAAAATCGGTTGGCAGAGCCCAGGGGCCCGCGACCTGGTGAAGAGTCCAGGGGTCAGCACAGGGGAAGGAGGGGGGCTGACAACAGTGCGGTCAAGAAAGAGAGCCCATTACCAGGTCCCCCCATCTAATGCTGACCCCGCCGCTGAACGTGCTCGGGCCCGTGAAGGGGGCGGGGTGGGTGGGTGGGTGAAAAGAGATGGCAAGCCGCACTGATTTTTGAGTCGACTCCAAAATCACCTATGGCAAGCCGCACTTTTCTGAACGTGTTCTGACCTGGCGGGGCGGACCTTACCGCAGAGGTTCGTCTTCCCCAACTTGCTGCAGAGTTCTTGAGAATAATCAGACAAGGTTGACGATTTGAATGTATTTCTTACGGACAGGAGAGAGGAGGCTGGCGTTACCGACCTGTGGCAGGGCGAACCTTGCCGCAGAGGTTGGTCTTCCCCGACTTGCAGAACTTGCACTCGCGGCACTCAGCCTGGTAGCATGGGATGACGTGGTCGCCCGGCTGCACGTCTGTCACGCCCTCGCCTACACTCTCCACTATGCTGGCGAGGTGGGGGCGGGGGAGGGAGGGGAAAGAGGCAACAGTCAGGGAGAGGGAGGAGTTGATTGGACTTCCCTGACTCGCAGAACTTGCACTGGCAGTCCCCAGCCTGGTAGCACGACCTGGCCGCACGTCCGTCACGCCCTCGCCCACACTTTCCACTATGCTGGTGTGGTGAAATCGGGAGGGAGGGAGGGGAGGGAGGGAGGGGAGGGAGGGAGGGGAAACAGGCAGTAGACATAGGTTGGTCTTTCACGCCAGGCTGTCAGCCGGGCTGCAAGTCCGTCACGCCCTCGCCCACCATGCTGTCGGGATGGGGGGACAGGAGGGGTGGGTGACAGAGAGGTTGAGAGAGAGGGTTTGGGAAGCTGCAAAACAAGAAATAAGCCAATCAACATGCAACCAGCACCCGATACACACTCACCCAGCGGCCTCGTGGCCGAGAATGCTACACACTCAACCCAGCCCCTCATGGTCAAGGCCGTCGAGGGTGGTAGGCGTTCAATCGTACAGGCAGGCAGGTCACACCTCGATGGCCATGACACAATGGCAGTGATATACCCAATGGCAGTAATTTTTGAGAAATCTAAAAAAATACCCAATGGCAATGCCCCAGAACGGCAGCACGCGCACTCACCCAGCGGCCTTGTGGCTGAGAATGCAGGGAAGAGCCCTCCATGCTCGTTCTTGGCCAGTAAATACATAGGCGTTCGGTTGAACAGTCAAACCTGAAACAACTGTAGCTGCTCACTCTGCACCCAGCGGCCTCGTGGCATGAAACAACTGTAGCTGCCCACTCTGCACCCAGCGGCCTTGTGGCCTGAAACAACTGTAGCTGCCCACTCTGTACCCAGCGGCCTCGTGGCCTGAAACAACTGTAGCTGCCCACTCTGCACCCAGCGGCCTCGAGGCCCAGGATGCAGGGGAAGAGCCCCTCGAGGTCGTGGCCATCTGCTTTTGAGTCGACTCAAAACCAGGATGCAGGGGAAGAGTCCCTCGAGGTCGTGGCCATCTGCTTTTGAGTCGACTCAAAACCAGGATGCAGGGGAAGAGTCCCTCGAGGTCGTGCCCATCTGCTTTTGAGTCGACTCAAAACCAGGATGCAGGGGAAGAGCCCCTCGAGGTCGTGGCCATCTGCTTTTGAGTCGACTCAAAACCAGGATGCAGGGGAAGAGCCCCTCGAGGTCGTGGCCATCGAGCGTGTTTGTGCTCAATTAAATCACTCACACTGATAACTTTTGAGGCGCCTCAAAAGTGTTTGTGCTCAATTAAATCAGGCACACTGATAACATAAGTCATACACAAATAACAAACTCACCCAGCGGCCTCGTGGCCGAGAATGCAGGGGAAGAGCCCCTCGGGGTCATGGCCGTCGAGCGTGTATGCGTCAGTGTGGCACAGCGCCGTGTGGGTGACGCGGATGCGCACCTCGCCCGCCTGGGGCGGGGCCACGTCTACCTCCTCGATCACCAGGGGCTTGTTCGGTCCCCAAGCCACAGCCGCTGCAGGGAAATGAGGAGGAGCAGTTTAATAGAAAAGGGACGGCGTGGTCAGCGTGGCACAGGGCGGCGTAGGTGACGCGAGTGCGCACCTCGCCCATCTGGGGAGGAGCTATATCCACCTCCTCGATCACCAGCGGCTTGTTGGGGGCCCCCGCCACCGCTGCTGCAGGAGTGAGTCAGTGGCAAACGAGATAAGGCGAAGCTGTCGAATCCCTGTGTTAGAAATTCGTTTTGAGACGTCTCAAAACGAGATTACTAACACTGGAGCCTGGAGTCAGTGGCAAGTGAGATAAGGCGAAGCTGCCGAATTACGAGGGCGATACGCGAGCTGCGTCGGACGCTGGAATCTCGGAGGTTCGGTGAGGGATTTGGTCCTGGATTCGGTGATCTGCAATGATGCGAGTGTAAATTCGCTCAATGATTCACGTAATAACAGAAATTCAGTGACATTGAGGAACGGAATTCGGAGAAATCGACGAAATCGACGGGCGTAGAGCGCCTCACCCTTGCATCGGATGACCTGTCCAGCCGTGGCCGCCATGAGTCTTCGGAACAAGGAAAAGGGGAAAGATGGAGAAACCAGGCACGTAGATCCAGCTGCTGATGAAATTGGCGGGTCTAGCGGCGAGGTGCCGCCTGGAGTTGACGGACAATTTGACGGACGGCTGACGAGAAAAGACAAGAATTTCGCCTGAGCAAAAATTCCCGAGCTGGGCCGGGTGGAACCGACGACAGACGAAGAACCAGAAGGAATCACAGACGGCGCGGAAATCGCAGAAGACCGAAATTCCTGACGGACAATAGAAGCGTTCAGGCGACTAGTATGGCTGGTGGAAGAGGCGACCCGGCGACAAACCGTCGTCAGATACAATGGAGGCGCCATGGCATCTTGGGATTCACGCCCTTATGCATGTACGCGCCAGGCGTGGGGAGGCGGAAGCTGTGCATCAAGGGTAAGCGGAGGCGGAGGCGGAGGCGGAGGCGGAGGCGGACGAAGTGGTGGTGGGGGATTGTGGGGGAGGGGCTCGGGGGAAGGGAGGAGGCTTGGCGGGTACACCCACACAGGAACTGACGATGGCGGCAGCACTGGGCATGAGCGGTGTCGCCTATTGGCCGGCTCGTTACGAAGAGTGTAATTGAGCAATGACGCACAAGCCTAACTGTAACCCCAAGGTTTAGATATCCCTCCTCTAATAAGCACAAATTGGCACACATCGCAGAGTTCCATTCAAGCCTTGACGAAATGAATATCAAGGCATACTGGTATCTACTATTTGTGATTAGTAAGGAAAGGGTCAAACACTAGCTACTGTAACGCACTGAGGCGGACACCAATGCACTCAACGAGAGAAGTCATTTCGTGCGAAAAGCACCTCCGGATAGAAACTGCCAAGGGGAAAAAATGTGTGGAGAAAGTGAGGCAAGTAGGAAAATTGCGCCTAAGGAATGACAGCAGGGCACAACCTTAAACGGAATTTGAATAGAGTAATCGGAAGCACACAAGGGGGCGATGGATGGCCTTGTAACGAGAGAAAGATGCGAACACTGACCTTGCAATGACCTGTCGGCCTCCAAACCATCTGTTGTGCAGGGACTGCTGTGCTGCCTGCGCCTCTGCTCACACGAGGATGGGGCAAGGTGAGCACACATGCCATGCCATGAGGATGTCAGCACATGCCATGAGGATGGTAGCCCATGCCATGAGGATGTCAGCCCATGCCATGAGGATGGCAGCACATGCAATGGCACACAGAAGCACAAGAATTGAAGGGAATGATCCCTGAGAAATATATGAGCACACGTGCGCGTGCATGCGTGTGCGCGCGTGTGTGTTCATGCATGCGTGAGAGAGATGGAAGGTCAGGGAAGAGAGAAAAAACGAGTTAAGACAGCAATCGAGAAAGAGGGGTGTATGTGTGGGGGGGGGAGGAGGGGGGTGTACCTGGGGTGCCCGAGAAGAGAACAAAGATCTTCACAATCGCATCTCCTGGCTTCTCCGATTGTTGTTCCTGAATAACAAATATAGGGAGACAGAGATAAGACAGGTAAGAACACTGAAAACAACGAGTCACAACAAGGGCATCAAAAGAACCAGGGGAAAATCACCTGAGCAGTATTCGGTTAGTACAAACAATCTGCAGGGCATTCACCTGAGGGGCATTCACCTGGGCATTCACCTGGGCATTCAACTGAGGGGCATTCAACTGAGGGGCATTCACCTGAGGGGCATTCACCTGAGGGGCATTCACCTGAGGGGCATTCACCTGAGGGGCATTCACCTGAGGGGCATTCACCTGAGGGGCATTCACCTGAGGGGCATTCACCTGAGGGGCATTCACCTGAGGGGCATTCACCTGAGGGGCATTCACCTGAGGGGCATTCACCTGAGGGGCATTCACCTGAGGGGCATTCACCTGATAGATGACGACCCGCTCCACCTTGCCAAACTTGCCGCACTCATCCGTGACCTGCAGGAGAGATCGGGTGCCAGAGGAGAGCACGAGTTTGGCATGGACCATGTGCCCAGAAGTCAGAGGAGAGCACGAAAGTAGAGATCACCAAAGAGTGTGCAGACAGAAAGTTACAAGACTCAAAACCATCCACGGCACAATATTGCAATCACCTCGCACTGAAGATCGTCCTCCACCTCCTCCAGCGTAGCCAAGCTCACCCAGATTGCCATCAAAACCAGAGCACCATACAGACATCTCCAGCTCATCGACAGCACACCCTGCCATTCTCACCTCGCTCTGGAGGTCGTCATCCACCTCCTCCGGTGTGACCATGTTGCGCATCACAATGCAGCGACACGGCGACGCGGGGAGAGAGGCTGCCGCCTGGAGGGATGGACGCATGGGGAGGGAGAGGGGAGAAGTAAGGGGGCGAGAAGGGGAGGAGAGAGGGGGGAGAGGAGGGAAGGGAAGCTAGTATCTATCGAGTCCCCTGAAAGAACGCAGCAACAGGTGACGCTGGCCAGGAGGCTGGCCAATGGCTGCCTGGACGGATGGATGCAAGGCAGAAAGGGGCCGCGAGAGGGGGTGGGGGGGGGGGAGGGGATGGGAGTGCGTGAGGGCAACACCAAATGGCGGGCACGCCTGGGATGGTGCCTGGAGCAGCAAGGGAGCTTACCTCAGCTGGGGTAGCAGACGCAGCGCCAGGCACCGTCCCCATCAGCCTTGCTCCCCCTCCTCCTGCTGCTGCTGCGCCAGGGAAGCCAGGGATGGCGGGCATGCATGGAATGGCGCCAGGGAAGGTCAAGGGGTCTTACCTCTGCTGGGGTAGCGGCAACCGCTCCAGGCACCGGCCCCATGAGCCCTGCTCCTCCTGCTGCGCCAGGGAAGCCAGGGATGGCGGGCATGCCAGGGATGACGCCGGGGTAGGTGGGGGCTGCGGGGGACGCGGCTGGGGCTGAGGATGGCGCATGCGACGCTGAGGCCCACCCGACCTGATAGGAGGCAGGGACGGGAAAGGGAGAGGGGAAAGGGAGAGGGGAAAGGGAGAGGGGAAAGGGAGAGGGGAAAGGGAGAGGGGAAAGGGAGAGGGGGGAGGGAAGCTGGGAAGAGGGACTCAAAGGCGTGCCGGGGATGGCGCCAGGGTAGGTGGGGCTGCGGGGGACGCGGCTGGGGCTGAGGATGGGGCGTGCGAGGCTGAGGCCCACCCGACCTGTTCGGAGGAAGGGAATGGGAAGGCGGGAGGGAGGGAGGGAGGGAGGGAGGGAGGGAGGGAGGGAGGGAGGGAGGGAGGGAGGGAGGGGGTGAGGGAAGAAGGGGGTGAGGGAGGAAGGGGGTGAGGGAGGAAGGGGGTGAGGGAGGAAGGGGGTGAGGGCAATTCACTGGAGAGGTAGCTGTGGTGGCGGCGAGGGCAGAGGAACTTGAACGAGTGTGAGGAGGAGGTAGGTTCGGAAAATCTAGACATCCACTACTTCAAGCTACACCTGTATTCGGGAAAAAAAAAAGCGCCACACAATGCTGTGTCCATTGTGTCTCAATGCTGTGCTGTGTCATTCTGTTTCGAGCAGTGGCCACAGCCACCCACCTCGAGCGGTCTGCCGCCCCGCTAACTCCACCAGCAGCCACCCACCTTGAGCTGTCTGCCGCCCAGCTGGAAGCCGTTCATGCACTGGATGGCGCCCTTGGCCGCTTCCTCTGTCTCAAACCTGCAGGGTCAGAGGAGGGAGGGGGAAAGGGGTGGGGTGGGGTGGGGGTGGAGGGGAGAAGAAGAGGGAGGAGGAAACGGGGCGCATTGAGGCACCTCTCAAACCCGTTCATGCACCGGATTGTGCCCTTGGCTGCTTCCTCCGTCTCAAACCTGCAGGGTCAGAAGCGGCGGCGGAGGAGGGAGGAAGGAGGGGGGGGAAGGGGGGGGACCGGGGGGGGGGAGGAAGGAGGAGGAGGCAACGGCGGAGTGCATTGGCATGCGGGAAGCTGACTTTCGTGTCGGCTCAAAGGGAGCTCAGCATGTCGATGGGAATGGAATGGATGCCATAAACGGAAAAGGGCCCAAGGAAAGGAGCTTCAGAATAAAATGCCCATTGAAACCAGAACCAACAGGCGGAAAAAGGGAAAGAAAATAAAAAAAGAAAGAAAATAAAAAGGGAAAGAAAATAAAAAGGAATGAAAATAAAAAGGGAAAGAAAATAAAAAGGAATGAAAATAAAAAAGGAATGAAAAAGAAGTTGCCTTGGGAAATTGACTTGCACTTACTCTACGAAACCATAGCCTTTGTGCTTGCCAGTGTCAGGATTGGGGATGAGCTGGCACGACTGCAGAGGGGAGAGCAACAGGGAAAACATGGGGAATGGGGGGGGGCTGAGCGATAGGGAAAGCTAAGGGCCAACAGCCCGGAAGGTTGCCATGATGTCGGGATCAGCCAGGCCACAAACGATGGAGCCCACATACACTCTCGCGTGCTTACTTCTGGTGGTGCTAAGGAATGACTTTTGAGTCGACTCAAAAAGTCACATACACTCTCACGTGCTTACTTCTGGTTGTCCTAAGGAATGAACAAACCGACAAGAACACCGGCACACCTTGATGATGGTTCCAAAGGCCTGGAAGATGGCCATGATGTCGGGCTCGGCGAGGTTATAGACGACGAGGCCTTCAATGCCAGCTGTAACCATTCCAGCAGGAGTATACTGATCATTCAGTAGGGCCGTACCTTGATGGTTCCAAAGGCCTGGAAGATGGCCATGATGTCGGGCTCGGCGAGGTTTTAGACGACGAGGCCTTCAATGCCAGCTGTAACCATTCCAGCAGGAGTATACTGATCATTCAGTAGGGCCGTACCTTGATGGTTCCAAAGGCCTGGAAGATGGCCATGATGTCGGGCTCCGCGAGGTCATAGACGATGGAGCCCACATACACACGCGTGTTCACCGCCGGCTGTGTCGGTATCTCCGCCACGCCGGGGATCTTCTGGTTGATGCTGCTTGCAATCACCTGCGGGGGTTCAGGGTTTCAAATGTAAGCAAGTGGTTGGATTGGAGTTAGAGTGGGGGTCATCGGGAGCCCACACACACTCGCGTGCTCACCGCTAGCTGTGTCGGCACATCTGCACCTCCGCCACGCCGGGGACCTTGTGGTTGATGCTGCTTGCAATCACCTGCGGGGGTTCCGGGTTTTAGATCCAAGCAGAAGGTTAGACTTAGGGTGGTGGTCCTAGACAAGGGAGCCCACATACACTCGCGTGTTCACTGCTGGCTGTGTCGGCCCCTCGGCCACCCCTGAGTATCTCTTCTGGGTGATGCTGCTCGCAATCACCTGCGGGGGTTTAGGGGTCAGGGTTTAAAGAATAGAGAGCATGAGGTCAGGGATTTGGTGGCTTCGATCAAGGTCACGGCGTGTAGCCACCTCAGGGGGTTGCTCCCAATCAACCGGAACCCTAAAGCACCTGCGTGCACATCTGATGCAAAAAAGCACCTGAAAGGGTACCTGGGCCTGGGAACCCACCTGGGCCTGAAGCTTGGCAGTAGCGAGGAGATTAGGGTTGGGCGCAGCCAAGGCAGCCTGGTTGAACGCGAGAGCTGATTCGGGAGAGAGGGAAGAGAGGAGAGGAGAGGAGAGGAGAGGAGAGGAGAGGAGAGGAGAGGAGAGGGACGAACAAGATGATTTGGCGAAAGGGAGGCGAAAAAAGAGGGACAACAAGATAGTCTCGATTGGCATGGAAAAGAAGCCTTGCGGCAAGTCCGAGGGAGCACCATTTCGGCGCCATGACATTGTAACGAGATGACTTTTGAGCCGACTCAAAAGTCAACGAGAATTGATTCAGCAGAAGAGGAACAGTAAGATAGTCTCGAGTGGCATGGAAAAGAAGCCTTGCTTTGAGGCGCCTCAAAAATAGACTCCTCATGCATGCATGATTGATTCAGCAGAAGAGGAACAACAACATAGTCTCGACTGGCATGGAAAAGAAGCCTTGCAGCAAGAATGCAGGGAATGAAGGCGGGGAAGGGGGGGAGAGTGGGGTAATTGCGAGAGAGATGACATATGATGGCAGAAAGTATTTAGGAGAACTCACGGTTGGCAATGGTTTGCGCGGCAGGAGAGGGGGAGGCAATGTTGTTGGGGCGACCGACCTTGATGCGCCTGATGCGCGGGGAGGGTAGGGGGGGAAGGAAGGGAGGGTGGGAGGGAGGGCAGGAGCACGGGAGGAAAGCAGAAGGCAGGGGAAGAGACGCAGACACTAGGATGAGAGGTTGAGGTCCGCTCATGTGTGAACAGTTGCGAAGAAGTGGCAGAATGGAAACAGCAGTGTTTTTGCAACCATGCAGGGTTATGGGGAGCGATGTGCTCGATATAAAAAGCGCTGATAAAGATAGCGCGGATAGAAAGAAATGGGCTTTAGAGCCACAAACCATCAGACGCAGGGCCCCCTTGCACCGTGGAGTGGAGGCACTGGTTCGCCAGGGTTTAAGAGTATGTGGGTTCAGTATGCTCCGGAGTTTAAGAGAATGCGAGTTTGGTATGGTCCGGCGTTTAAGCACTTCGCACGAGTGGGAGAGGGTTCAAATGTGCTGAGGAGTGCGGAAAAGCGATGTGCTTGTAACGAGGACGCATGTGTGGTGGTTTGATAAAATGTGACGGAGAGGGGGGGTTGCTGTGGCAGGATGAATGGCAAGCACACAAGAGCAGGCAAGTATGAAAGAACAGATATAGGCGTAGGGCCAAAGAGACGCACGGACGCAGGAAAAGTACAAACAAAAAAAGGGGAGAAGAGAAGAGAAGAGAAGAGAAGAGAAGAGAAAGACAAATGCACGCAAAAGAAAGGAGAGGGAAGGAGGGAAGGAGGGAAGGAGGGGAGGAGGGAAGAAATACGCACGTACAGAGAGAAAGGCCAAAAGACAATGATTAGCAATGATCAGCCAAGATAAACAGCGAACTGAGAAGACAGGAGAGAGCCAGTTAGACTGTGAGTCACGGGGGACACACGCTCATCTTGCACTAATGTGCAACGGGCGAGTAGACTTTTGAGTCGACTCAAAACACACGCTCATCTTGCACTAATGAAGCGCCTTAGCATGGATGAACCGTGCAATGAGCAACGGGCGAGTACAACAAGTCGCAGCAACTCGCAGCAACTCGCAACAACGACCCACTGCGAACAACATGTGAGAGAGTGAGAGCAAGCTAAGTACCGTCCGGTGAGGTAGGGGGTCGTCTCATAGCAGGGATGGCAGCGGAGGTAGTCTCGGGGGAGAGTAGGTGGGGGGACCGCCCAGTGAGAGTGAAGCGAGAAAAAACGAGTAGCGGCCTACGAGGGTGTGGTGTGGTGTGGTGTGAGAAGGCAAGTACCCTCCGGCGAGGGTAAAGTCGTTCATGGCAGCAAAGCAATGGCGGTAGGGGCCGTCTCGGGGGTCTTATGGGGGCCTCAAAAGGCGAGATTGGGACGGAAAAGAGCTCAGTACTGTCCGGCAAGAGTGAAGTCGTTCATGGCAGCAACGGCGGTGGAGGCAGTCCGGGGGCCTTTTGGGGCGCATTAAACGGTGAGAGTGGGGAGGAAAATAGCTAAGTCAGAGGATGGGAGATGGGAATAGGCAAGTACCGTCCAGCGAGGGTGAAGTCGTTCATTGCAGCAATGGCGGTGGAGGCAGTCTCGGGGGTGGTGAACTCGATGAAGCAGAAGCCCTTGTGCTTGCCCGTGCTCGCATCCTGTAGAGAAGGGGGGTTGGGGTGTAAGGGGGGGGGAGGACAGGGAGCGACCAGAGAGAGGAGAAGAAGAAGGCAAGTCATTTACAGCAGTAATGGCGGTGGAGGCAGCCTCGGGGGAGGTGAACTCGACAAAGCAGAAGCCCTTGTGCTTGCCCGTGCTCGCATCCTGGGGGGGAGAACGAGGAAGAAGACGGAAGAAAGGGGGGAAAGTGAGGGCAGAAGGAACGAGTGGGATGGCGTTATAAGAAGTGGTACGCAGAGAGAGAGAGAGAGAGAAAAAACGCGTTTGAAGGCGTTTCAGCAGAACACGATAACAAATGGGACGCGTCGAGGCAATGGACGGAAGGAGGTAGCGCGATTGCACGAGCGGGTGCATGCGCGGGAGGCGCAGAAACAGGTGGAGAACGCATGCAGTGCGCAGGAGGGAATGCAGGAAAGGGGGATGGAATCCCAGGGCTGTTCCAGCCTAGTGGGTTGAACTTGAAAATCAGTCATTGAAGAAAGCAAAGGTAGCAAAAGGGTTGACTGGTGGGTGGTCGACGGGCGGATGGGTTGATTGAAGAAGGACAAACCTTAGGCATGTCGATCTTGGTGATAGGACCTGCGCGGGGAACACACAAACGGCGCGCACAGAGGTTAAGTTGCAAGGACCTTAGAAACACCATTACATAATACATTCTTACCACTCCCTCCTGTATCCGAACGAACCCCGTTTAAGTCACACCCCAGACACGCACACGCCCTTTCTTTCTCTCCCTTTCTCCCAGTCGCCCCCAAACCCCAGCACACCAGCATACTACACAAAAACGCATGAGCGTACCGAAAGGGGAGAAGGCGAGGAGAATGTCCGCCTCTGTGAGGTCGTAGAAGATGCTGCCCACGTAGATGCGGCACTGGGCTGCAATGCAAGGGGCGCCAGATGGGAGGGATAAAGGGGGGGGGGAGGAGCGAGGGCATGGAGATGGAGAGACAGGAGAGGATAGGGGGCAACGTCCGCCTCTGTGAGGTCGGAGAAGATGCTGCCCACGTAGATGCGGCACTGGGCTGCAAGGGGCATAGGGAAAAAGAGGACATTTAGGCTGTTTTGGGCAGTCTAGCAAAATACTCTTTCGAGGTCACACGTGGTGGCTGCTGCTGCACCGCTGCTGCCTCACATGCGGTGTAAGAACGCCCAAAGCGCACTCACCATTCGACTGAGTGACTGTGGATTGCTGCTGCTGCACCGCTGCTGCCTCGGCCATCTTCGCCTGAGCCAACGCGCGCATCTGCGCACCCACGGAGATCACGGAGAATCGAGGGGGACAAATGGAGCCTCAGGAACACTGATGAAACGACGGTGATCGAGATAGGAACAGTTTTGAGGCGCCTCAAAACTAGACTCCTATCACGCGGAGAAATGGAGGCTCAGGAACACAGATGAAACGGGTAACCACTTGTGCACAAGATGTAGAAGCAGCGACGGTGATCGAGATAGAAACAGGCCAAAAAAAAGAAAAGGAAAAAGAAAGAAAAGAAAAAACATCTTCACCCCACTTCTTGCTCCCCCCCTCCCCCTCTCCCCCCTCCCCCCTCCCCACCCTCTCCCTTCCCCATCAGAAAATGGTAAAAAAAATCTCAAATTACCTCCCTCCTCCCCCCCCCCTCTTCTCAGATTTAAGTTTTCTTAAATCACCAGCAAGAGGTGCTGCTGCTGCAGCAGCTGCGCCTGCTGCGCCATGGCTGCTCCGGGCATCATCATTGCAGCGGCGGTACCAGGAAGCATGCCAGCACCGTTAGAGAAAAAACACTCCAGACTCTAGAATCACCTGTAAGAGCTGCTGTTGCTGCAGCAGCTGCGCCTGCTGCGCCATGGCTGCTCCGGGCATCATCATCGCAGCGGCAGCACCGGGGAGCATTCCAGCACCCAGTGGCAAGCCAGGAATACCGGAAATCGCGGGGGAAACGGCTCCGGGTAAGATACCGGCTGCGCTGGGCGATGCGAGGACGGCAGGCGACTCCACTGCGGAAAAAAGACAAGGTCGAGGGAAAAAGAGAGTCGGAAAACGGAACAACGCAAGATTCTGATACGGCATGGCAGGTCGACGGGGGTAACCAGTGGTTCAGCTCAAATCTGGAAAATGCTGTGATAATAATAATAATAATAATAAAAGCACACGAGGACTGGAAAAACAGATGAGAATAGAGAACGGACCCCCCAGCACGCTGCTGTGTGCACGCACGTTTCTTGCCATCAGGGCCCTCGGTGTCCCACAGGCTCTTGCGCTTCCGCCGCCGATGACTCGTGCCTTCCTCGCCCGCCGGCTTCTCGTCCGTCTTCGCATCTTTGGCGTCTTTCGCAGGCGTCGTCACAGCCTCGGGTTCAGCCTTCGACGTCTCGCCGTCTGCCTTAGCTGGCTCGCCGTCAGCCTTCGTCGTTTCGCCGTCAGCAGCAGCAGTATCAGCAGGAGCAGGAGCAGCAGCATCAGCAGGAGCAACATCGTCGCTTGGAGGAGCAGCAGCGGGAGGCGAAGCCGCAGCGGCGTCAGCGCCGTCACCCTCGTGCGCTTTAACTTCTTCCGTCGTCATATTTTATAGAACGCGGTAATTGACAGCAAGAAGAGCGAGAGCCGAAAACGAGAAATGCTCGTCAAAGAAACGTTTTAGGTGAAGAGAACGCAGGTAAGAAATCGAAAACTAGACCAGATCTGAACAACGGATAGATAGGTATGGTGTCACATTACGGGCCCTAGGGATTGGCTTTTACGTCTATTTAAGAAATTCCGTTGTGGTTTTGTGCGATAGTGTCCTTAATATTTTGCTCAGATTTAGCCGTGTTTTGGAGAAATGTTAACGTAAAGTGTACACTTCAGTTCTGCCTGTTTCCGAAGTTTCTGGAAGTTCCCCCAAAGTCGCCATGTACAACCTCGAGATTGTCACTACCTGGCACATAATCACATTCTCAGTAGGCACGTTCCATTTCTTACCAGCGTTCTTTGTGCAGATTGCCTACATACAGACAACATTCTCCTTCTCTTCCTACGGTACTGTATGGTTCCTCCATACTATCCCCTTTCACATCCACTTCTCTTCCAAGGTTTCCTTTCATTGCTCTGCTGGACTTTCCACAGTTGCCAACAACATCCCTCTAGATCTTGCTCACTCGCTCGCTCGCTCTTCCAGCTCGCCGTTGTTAGTGGACTTAGCGACTCGCTCACGAAGCACGCGCTTTCGCGTTAGATTGTCGTTACGATGTCGGACCCTTCCGGTTTTCCTAATGGGGGAATTTCCCTGCGTCCCCAGGATGTGAAGAAATCTCGAGGTACGTGGATGTTCCAGGCTCGCACATATTTTAGGGTTTGGCCGATTCTTACCGTTACTTCGTGTCGCAGACGAATCTGGCGGAGGAACTTCTGGAGGAACAGTTTCGAAAACATCTCCTGACGGAAAAGGTATGCCCCATGCCGTAATCTGTCAGTCCAGAAACCCGTCAGATCTCCGGGGTTTATCGGCAGTTTAACATCAAGCCCGTACTTGGCCGTCGGTTCTTCCCTCGTGCAGAGCATTCGTCACCCGGAGACTCCTCGATGGCATTTTCGCCGCAGTGGCTCACCGCGAAGCACTCGGACTCATCGCGTGGTGCTGTCGGCCAGGTCAGCATTTTAAATCTCCCTTCTGATCAACGGCCATCCACTCCACAGTGGTTGTTTCCCAGATTTTTCCGATATGTCAGACGAAGCAAACCGCACTGATTCGTTCAATTACCCTGTCGTCTCTCGAGCTCCTCCAGTCACTTCGCTAGCTCTGGCCCTAGCTCCTCCGATATCTTAGCTCCGGCCCTAGCTCTTCGCTATCCCTGCATCCCAGTCGTTTCTCTTCGTCGTAACTTCAGAAGCTTTCCGTTTCCACAGGCACCGTCCTCACTTTCCTCCGCGCCCATTCCCGTGCAGCCCTTCCAGGACCCTTCCAAGCCGATGGGTTACGGCAGAGGCGGCGAGGCTCCCGGCGGAAAGTGGAAGGTAGGCCGCGGGGCCAGTGCAGTCGCAGGCGCAGGCGGCATTCCGGGGGGGGAGTAGCGGGAGCGCCGCCGGACGAGGCGAAGCGGGAGCGCGACTGGTGGCGCAGCGCGGGCATGGAGCGCGAAAGGCCGAGCGACCGCTGGGGGGAGGACGAGCGCGAGCGCGAGAGCGTGGGGGGGAAGCCGCGGAACGACCCCCGCTGGGGGTCCATACACGCCCCGCCGCTGGGGGGTGAGAGCGGAAAGGAGGCGGGGGAGGGGGGCGGGTATGTTAAGAAGGAGCGCTGGGTGGATCCTCCGGGGATGGGCGGTCCCCGCGCGGGGCTCGGCGCGGGAGGGGAGGCAAGCGTGGATTACCGCAAGGAGCGGTGGGCGGACAGCGGAACGCGGAGTTTCGACCAGCGCCGCGATACTAAGTGGAGTTCGCGTTGGGGCACCGCGGAGGAGAAGGAGAAAGAGAAGGACAGGGGCGTCGTGCATAGCGAGAGTTGGGGGGAGAAAAGTGGGCATGGCGGGGGAAGCGGAGGAATCGGAGGCGGGCTCCGCGGAGCGGCGGAGTCCGCGCAGGGCGGCGGGGGCGGGGGAAGCGCGCGGTGGACGCTGCCGGGGGAGAAGGAAGCGGACAAGCACCGCGAGTTTGAAAAACCTAGGGATTACCGGCCCGCCATCGGCGCGCGAGATAGCGACCGGGGGAAAGAGGCGGAGAAGGACGTAGGCAGCGGGGGGTCTGTTGGGGCTGGGGCCGGGGGGGCGGGGGGCCCGGGGGCGGAAGCGCGGGGGGAGCCGGGAGCGGTAGCTGGACTAGAGACACTACCGCGGGGAGGTCGGAGACAGGGGGGAAGTGGCGCCCGCAGTCTATCGCGGGGCGGGGGCGCGGAGAGGCTCCGCCTACGGGCACGTCAATTTCCACCGCCCCGTTCTCCAAGTTCCAGCCAGGGTTTGGGTTCGCGGCGGGGCGCGGGCGCGGAGCCCCCGACGGTGCAGGCGCAGGCACAGGCTCCTCCGCGCTGGGCGCTGGCGGAGGGGGCGGAGGCTTTGCGCGGGGGCGCGGATTCGGCGGGGGGGCAGGGGGAAGCTGGGACGTTCCAGGGCAGGCCTCCAGGGCGCAGCAGATCGGCGCTCCGCCCCCGGAGGCTGGCGGAGCGGGCGCTCCGCCGTCCGCGGAGACGTTCAGGTACCCGCGCGCGCGGCTGCTGGAGATCTACCACGCGCACAAGCGCGCGCCTGAGTTCAGCGCGGCGATTCCGGGGGAATGGTCTGAGGCGCCCGCGCTCCTGGGGTCTGAGCCGCTGGTGCCGGCGGCGCTGGTGGAACCGAGCGCGGATGAAGAGGTGAGCGGAGGAAGAGGTGAGCGGCGGAAGAGGTGAGCGGAGGAAGAGGTGAGCGGAGGAAGAGGTGAGCGGAGGAAGAGGTGAGCGGAGGAAGAGGTGAGCGGAGGAAGAGGTGAGCGGAGGAAGAGGTGAGCGGAGGAAGAGGTGAGCGGAGGAAGAGGTGAGCGGCGGAAGAGGTGAGCGGCGGAAGAGGTGAGCGGAGGAAGTGGTGAGCGGCGGAAGAGGTGAGCGGAGGAAGTGGTGAGCGGAGGAAGAGGTGAGCGGAGGAAGAGGTGAGCGGAGGAAGAGGTGAGCGGCGGAAGAGGTGAGCGGAGGAAGTGGTGAGCGGAGGAAGTGGTGAGCGGAGGAAGAGGTGAGCGGCGGAAGAGGTGAGCGGAGGAAGAGGCGAGCGGCGGAATGGAGGTAGGTAAGTGGACGGGGAAGAGGCGAGCGGACGCGTGAAGGAGGTTACCACAAGGATTGGCCCCAAGGAGGTCAGCTCCTCAATCGCTGTTACCATCTGCCTGCTCGGACGTTAGGCTGTCACGGACGCCTATCTGGCTAATACTGGTTGCCTGTTACTCACTGACTGTTCACTGACTGTTACCATCTGTCTGTGTGTTACAATCTGGCTGTGCAGGCGGTGATGGCGGCGATTGAGAGTGGCGAGATCGTGGGCAGCGGGGTGGTGCACTCATCGAGGGACAAGGACGCCTCGCGAGACAAGGAGCGGGAGCGGGAGGGCAGGGACGCCAGCAATCAGCATGGTACGTTGGCTGGGGCTTTGTCTAAGAGAGCAGGGTTCCACATACCACTAATGACTATCATGCCTATCATGCCTATCATGCCTATCATGACTATCATGCCTATCATGCCTATCATGCCTGTCATGCCTATCATGCCTGTCATGCCTGTCATGCCTATCATGCCTATCATGCCTATCATGCCTGTCATGCCTATCATGCCTATCATGCCTGTCATGCCTATCATGCCTATCATGCCTGTCATGCCTGTCATGCCTATCATGCCTATCATGCCTATCATGCCTGTCATGCCTATCATGCCTATCATGCCTGTCATGCCTATCATGCCTATCATGCCTGTCATGCCTGTCATGCCTATCATGCCTATCATGCCTATCATGCCTGTCATGCCTGTCATGCCTGTCATGCCTGTCATGCCTGTCATGCCTATCATGCCTATCATGCCTATCATGCCTGTCATGCCTGTCATACCTATCATGCCTATCATGCCTGTCATGCCTGTCATGCCTGTCATGCCTGTCATGCCTATCATGCCTATCATGCCTATCATGCCTGTCATGCCTGTCATGCCTGTCATGCCTGTCATGCCTGTCATGCCTATCATGCCTGTCATGCCTATCATGCCTATCATGCCTGTCATGCCTGTCATGCCTATCATGCCTGTCATGCCTGTCATGCCTATCATGCCTATCATGCCTATCATGCCTATCATGCCTGTCATGCCTATCATGCCTATCATGCCTGTCATGCCTATCATGCCTGTCATGCCTATCATGCCTGTCATGCCTGTCATGCCTATCATGCCTGTCATGCCTATCATGCCTATCATGCCTGTCATGCCTATCATGCCTATCATGCCTGTCGTTGACTTTCAGCCTGGTTCTGCACCCTCTTGCCCTCTGGCTAATTCTCTCCCCTCAACCTCCGCGTGCAACCGCCTTTTTCTGGCAGCACAAGAAGCTGACAAGCGCCAACCCACTCACGCACCTGGCGCTGCAGCTGCAGTAGCAGCCACCCAGGCAACCGACGCAACCCAGGCTTCACCCGCCCCAGGCGCCACCTCCCTGTCTCCCTCCCAAGCCAAATACACCGCCCTGACCACCGCCCCCCCCTCCATCCCGCCTGAAAAGCTCCTGCTACAGTATCGCGACCCCCAGGGGGAAGTCCAGGGGCCGTTTCCAGGTGACGACATTATGGGGTGGTTTGAGGCGGGGTTTTTTGGCCTGGAGCTGCCGGTGCGGCCGGTGGACCCGGGGACGGGGGAGGCGGCGCCTGGGGTGCAGTTTCTGCCGCTGGGGGATGTCATGCCGCATCTGAGGCCGTCGGCTAAGGTGCCCCCTGGCTTTGCTGCTGCTGGTGCTGGTGGTGGCAGTGCTGGTGCTGGTGCTGGTGCTGGTGGTGGGGGTGGTGGTGGTGCTGCTGCAGGGGTTGCGGTCGAGGGCGCAGTAGCTGCGGACGCCACCCTGGTTGCTGAGAAAGAAAGCGCTGGGCTGGCAGGCAGTGCTGCTCCTGCTGCTGATGCTGCTGGGGCTGCTGCGGCTGGTGTTACTGGTGCTACAGGGGCTTCAGGTGCTACAGGTGCTGCTGGTGCTGCTGGTGCTGCTGGTGCCGGCGGCGGTGCGATGGCTGGTG